GAAATGTAGGGTGTTTCAGACTGTTAATAATAAAGTGACCAAGTTCAGCACATTCTCAATGACTCTAATATTGACTTCCTTTGCCTTTCTGAAACATGGCTTCATGAATCATCTCCTTCAGCCATGTTATCTGTACCTGGGTATAATATTTTCAGGAGAGACAGAAGGGGTGCTAAAGGAGGTGGCGTTATGATTTATGCGAAAGACACTTTTAAATGTAATGAAATACAAGTCACAAATGAAAATGAACTGGAATTTCTTAGTTTAAATGTAACCTTGTCACTGCAAATGTCTTTCACTTTAGTTGTTATCTATAGACCCCCTTCATCAAATGCAGACTATTACGACAAACTGGATTTGTTGCTAAAGCAATTAAAACACATGAAAGAGTTAATTGTTATGGGTGATTTTAATATAAATTGGGAAGATAACAAAGCAAGGAAAGGTTTAAAAAAAGTTATGGATGAAATCAACATGACCCAGGTAGTTAATGGCCCAACAAGAATTACGAATCTGACGAGTACTCAAATTGACTTGGCTTTCACTAATAGGACAGAAAGGATCTTAAAATCATTTAACTTGCTCATTGGACTGTCTGATCATAATTTCATAATAGTGTCCAGAAAACGAAACAATAAGAGATTCAAACCATTGCCTGCCACAGAATTCCTTAGAATACCAAAAAATGAACAACAAAACTTTAAAAATGAAATCCAACAAACAAATTGGGAGGAATTTATCAATGGATTAAATTTAGACCATGACTGTTCCAAATTCTCAGACAAAATTAATACAATTATTACTAAATTTACACAAAAAATTAAACTAAAAGCCAAGAAGAACTGTCTCCCTTGGTTAAACGAGTCCATTCTAAACCTGCTAAAAGAACTGGACAAAGCCCTAAAGGTGGCTGTCAGAAGTGGATTCAACAGACTTCAGTTCGTTTCCCTAAGAAACAAGGTGGTGAAAGAAATTAGAAAAGCTAAAGCCAATTTCTTCATTGCAGCGTTGAATTCTGCAAGGGGAAATTCAAAAATGATCTGGGATCAAATGAAAAAAATGACTGGTAACCATCATAACAAAACTTGCAAATAAATGGAAATCAATCTAAACGGAAACATCCTACGGGAGCCAAAGTCAATGGCTGATGCTTTTAATAATTATTTCATCAACTCAGTGGCCGAAATTTCGAAATGTTTGTCTACACATACGCAAAAATTAGATTTAAACCCACCTCAATTTGTAACACAATCCTTTTCCATCTCAAACATAACTGAGACCAAAGTTAAAAATATCATTAGGGCCCTTAGATCCTCTAAAGCTAAGGACGTCTTTGGGATGGATACCACCATGCTTAAAGAGCTTGGCTCAGCTCTAGCTGCTCCCATTGCCGCCATTATCAATTTTTCAGTCTCAACCGGCCAGTTTCCAAATGCATGGAAATCTGCAATAGTCACTCCAATATTTAAATCTGGCAACCCAAACTCATTACATGACTATTGACCAATAAGCATTCTTCCAGCCATCTCCAAGGTGATTGAGAAATGGGTATCAGAGCACATAGTCCAACATCTAAACAGCAACTCCCCTTCTCTCCACCCCATGCAGTTTGGATTTAGACCCAAACACTCAACAGAGATGGCCACTTGCCTTTTTATTGAGAAAATCAAATCTTCTCTGGACATGGGGGGTGTAGTGGGGGCGGTATTCTTGGACCTCAGGAAAGCCTTTGACACCCTAAATCATGCTGTTCTCTGCTCAAAGCTCCCATATTTCAACTTCTCTGGTACAATGGTGAATTGGGTGGAATCTTATCTACACGGCCGAAGTCAGTGTGTGGCGATAAATAACTGTAAGTCTGAGCCACTTATGATTGCTACAGGAGTACCGCAGGGATCAATTTTAGGTCCCCTTTTGTTTAGCCTTTACATTAATGATTTGCCCACAGTCTGCCCTGAAGTTGACTGCATAATGTATGCAGATGACACAGTCTTATTTTGTCATGGTCGCTCCAAAGATGTTGTGGCTGAGAAACTCACCAAATCAATGGAATGTGTTATGTCTTGGCTGAAAGACTGCTGCTTGCAGCTTAATGTTTCCAAAACGGTCTCCATGTTTTTTAGTAAAACTAGGAGTGCTTCTAAAGATCCGGTAATTTATGTTGAAGGGGAAAAACTACAATCTGTCCCTCAGTATAAATATCTTGGACTGGATAGATTCACATCTCACTTTTAAAACACATGTTGAAAAGATCTGTAAAACAATCAAATTTAATCTTTCAAATTTCAGATCAATAAGATATGACATGTCAACTGAGGCCGCAAAACTTTTTTTAGATTCAATGATTTTTAGTCATTTTAATTATTGTTTAACAAGCTGGAGTCAAGCTAATAAGACTACTTTAAGACCACTAGAAATCTTATATAAGCAAACCATCAAAGTAATGGATAAAAAGCAAAAATGTTATCATCACTGTTTAATTTTGGAAAAGTATTCCTTTCTAAGTTGGCCAGATCTTCATAAATTCTCAAATCTATGCTTAATATATAAAGCAACTCATAATTTGGCTCCCACTCCACTTGCAGGTCTGATAAGTCAAAGGAACAGTAGTGAGCGGCTCACTAGAGGCTCCGTGAGAGGCGACCGTGTGATCCCTCTGCGTAAGAGCACCTTCAGTCAGTCTGCCTGGTCCGTTAGAGGCACCAGAGAGTGGAACTCACTACAGACTGTTAGAGGCACCAGAGAGTGGAACTCACTACCACAGACTGTTAGACAGCAGAGCACATACAGGGCTTTTACACAGCACCTAAAGCAATGGATGGTAAACACATACACCTGCCCACATTAACTGATGTATGATATGCTTATGCAGTCTTGTAAATAGTATATTTTTGAATGTGTGAACACAATGTTAGTCTTGAATGATGTTATCTCTGTCTTGTAATTTTGTCATGTTAATGTATTTTAATAGCTTTTTAACATCACAGCCAGGGAACTACAGATGAAAAATAGCCTCCTTGGCTAATTCTGGCTTTTTTAACTCATGTTTTATCATGTGTTTTATTAAATTGCATTGTCCCCCTTTGAAATAAACTAAACTGAAACTGAAAACTGAAACAGGAGACCAGAGGAGACCAGAGGAGACAAGAGGAGGCTGGGGGATATGGTCAAAAAGTTATCACGATATGCGAAGGAAAATTCACGACAACAATTTAGTTCATGATGACTCTTCTGACCCCTGGAATAGCCATGTTCCAGCTTCTTCCCTCTGGCAGAAGACATTGTTCTCTGAGATGCAGGACTTTGAAAATCTCGCACTTGTATTGGAACTGTTTTTGTTGCTTGGTTCAACCTTGACAAATATTTCTTGTACTTTTTAGCCTGTTTTAGTTGCGTGCTTGTCCTGTGCACACTGGGGGGACTGTTTGCACATGTATTCCAATGTGGTTTTACTGCAAATGGAAAAATCTGGTGGTCCTGGATTTCCAACTGTTTTGTGAAGTGACCGTTACAAACCTGACCATAAACTGACCCTCTGAGTGCGTCTGCTCTTGTGATTTGGCAATAAACAGATTGTGTTGAAATCGTTTTGGCTGAAAATGTCAGACTGTGTTTTCATAAGTCACGAGTACCGCGCTCTGTAAACCTTGAAAACATTTTTTAATCGTGAAGCAACATTTCACCCGAACAAGATGTTTTGAAATCTGAAGTGGCTCGATCACAGAGACCAGACATGTCCAAACTCAGGCCCGCGAGCCAAGTGCGGCACTCTGTGTCATGTTGTCTGGCCCTCTGCCTCGCTAAGGCAAGCTATCATAGACACCAGTTCACAGTGTCATACAGCCAACTTCAGCTGTACATGTATGTTATATCTTGTTGCAAAGCTTGTTTTTTGTATATTCTCATTAATGGCACAAAATTGAGTGGCTAATGTAGCTAACGTCAAGGTGATTTTAAAGTAAAATTGGCCCTATTGCAAAAAAGTTTGGACACCCCTGACTTAGACTACACAGATGGACAATGCTAACCCGCTAGCGCCATAAGCAGGGAAGTGCTCATGGTGATGTTTTGCTTTAACTGGCTCCTATTAACTTATATTGAAAAGTAAACTCCTCCAGCTCAGTAACCGTTTGTGTCACACTCACCATTTAGAGCTAAAAAATTGGTGGTTTAGCGCTATCTATGATCCTGGTGTTTTTATTATGATATTTTCTTTGTAAATCCAGATACGAGCAATATATAAGGATTGACCAATCAGATGCCTTCATTCGGGAAACTCCAGCTTCCCTTAGCAACCGTCTTAGCGACACGTCAGACTGTTACCGTGACTGCTGGAAGCCATTGTTATCTTATTCCACAGATACTGGTTTGTTGTGGGTTGGTTGCTAAGATACAATACCGGATACTAAAGCGTAATGGAAACACAACCAGGCCGAGCAGAGCCGAGTAGAGCCAAGGGGAGCGGGGCCAAGTAGGGCTGGTGGAAACGGGGCTAAAGATAGATACTAACAATAGAAAGTACAGCTAGGACAATCTTAGCTTGAACCTTTAATAAAGTCAACTTTAGAGATTTCTTTCAGAGCATTCCACACCACTGCTCTCTTCCTAACACTGAAGAACCAAGTGTTAGGAAGAGAGCAGTGTGTTAGGTAGAGTAGAGTAGAGTAGAGTAGAGTAGAGTAGGTTAGAGTAGAGTAGAGTAGAGTAGAGTAGAGTAGAGTAGGTTAGAGTAGAGTAGAGTAGAGTAGAGTAGAGTAGAGTAGAGTAGAGTAGAGTAGAGTAGAGTAGAGTAGAGTAGAGTAGAGTAGAGTAGAGTGTCCGGTGAGCTTTAATAAAGTGGACAGACGCCTTCAGCCACAGATCACATCAGAAAATCCCCAGACTTCAGCACAAACATTCTGTTATTAAAATGTGTGTGTGTGTGTGTGTGTGGTTGTGTGTGTGTGTGTGTGTGTGTTTGTGTGTGTGTGTCTGTGTGTCTGTGTGTTGTTGTTGTGTAGGATTGTCCGGGAGCAGTGCTGTCTGTCTGTGATGGAGGACAACATGTGCAGCTCTGGGATCAACACAGCCAAGATCCAGGGCCAGTGTGAGGCTCTGCTGACCGGGACCTGCGAGACCAAGACCACCAAGGTCCAGTCCAGTCTGTTCTGATCTGTGTATGAGACCAAGACCAAGGTCCAGTCCAGTCTGTTCTGATCTGTGTTTGAACCCAAGACCAAGGTCCAGTCCAGTCTGTTCTGATCTGTGTTTGAACCCAAGACCAAGGTCCAGTCCAGTCTGTTCTGATCTTTGTATGAGACCAAGACCAAGGTCCAGTCCAGTCTGTTCTGATCTGTGTTTGAACCCAAGACCAAGGTCTAGTCCAGTCTGTTCTGATCTGTGTTTGAACCCAAGACCAAGGTCCAGTCCAGTCTGTTCTGATCTTTGTATGAGACCAAGACCAAGGTCCAGTCCAGTCTGTTCTGATCTGTGTATGAGACCAAGACCAAGGTCCAGTCCAGTCTGTTCTGATCTGTGTATGAGACCAAGACCAAGGTCCAGTCCAGTCTGTTCTATTCTGTGTATGAGACCAAGACCATGGTCTAGTCCAGTCTGTTCTGATCTGTGTTTGAACCCAAGACCAAGGTCCAGTCCAGTCTGTTCTGATCTGTGTTTGAACCCAAGACCAAGGTCCAGTCCAGTCTGTTCTGATCTTTGTATGAGACCAAGACCAAGGTCCAGTCCAGTCCGTTCTATTCAATTCATTTTCATTTTTTCTTGTATAGATCTAAATCACAACAGTAGTTATCTCAGAGGACGTAACCAAACTGTTGAATTCAAACTAAAGAAATGCAATGATAGAAAGAAAGGGGCAGATGACCAAGGTCCATAAATGTGTCCTGGATCATCACCACTGTCCTTTTAGTTAGACCCAGAAAAGGGTCAGACAGACCCTCCTCCACCATTATTTATGGACATTGGTCTCCGCCCTGAATGGACCAGTACGTGACTCTTTTTATATTTTAATCCATGCATTTCCGTGTCTGAACTGTCTGTGACTCTAACTGGTGCTGTTTCAGTGCAGTAACGTTGACTCACTTTCAATTCCTGTTTTGAATCCAAGATTTCATCACAGAATAATGTCTCTGAAGTTTCACATCATGAGTTTATGGATTAAGATGGTGGTGAAGATTTGGCCCCGAGAGCAGCAGGAGCAGGACAGGGCACGCTCTGCACAGGAATGATACATCAAACCCGCTCTACGGCAAATCAAAAAAGTCTCCGTCAAAGTCTCCTTCTGAGTCTTCACTAGAAAGTATTACTGTACAGAAAGTATTACTGTACAGAAAGTATTACTGTACAGAAAGTATTACTGTACAGAATGTATTCCTGAACTTTCTGGACTATAAGGCGCACCAGCTGCATTTGAAAAGAAAATCCATATTGTCCACATATAGACTGCACTTAAATGTAAGCCGCAGGTTTTCATGTTGTAATGTTATCGATAGACGACTGTTTTGACTGGCCTCGGTCCTCATTCTGCAGTCTGAGTCTTGGGCCTCCCCGAGGTTTCTCACTTTCTCCAACTTTTTTTTACCAATAACAACAACAATTTATTCTTGTATTTCCCTAAATCACAACAGCAGTCATCTCAGAGACTTAACATTGAAATCACCAACACAGATCAGAGAATCAACAGTTAAAACACAAAATATAAACATATGAATTGGACCATAGGGAGAGACCAATGTCCATGACTGTTGATAAAGGTCACACATGTTGTAGAATGTTAAAGTGTCCTGGATCATCACCACAGTCCTTCTAGTTGGACACTAACTGCCCAACAGACTCCTGCATCAGAAGAAAAACTCACAAAAACCCGAGGACCAAGGCCACGCAGCGGCCGCAGAGCGTGGACAGGTCCGGTGCAGGACTGAAGCGCTCCCAGGCGGGTCGGGCAGGGCAGTCCGCAGGTGTAGATGGAGGAGGCCAGGCTCAGAGGTCCCGTTGTCGCGCCATGGAACAGACAATAGGACAACGGGTGAATAGCAATGAACACACTACAGTCAAAATCTTAATAATGCTAAACAGGTGCAGGACTGAAGCGCTCCCAGGCGGGTCGGGCAGGGCAGTCCGCAGATATCAGAGCTGTTCCTTGCCCATGTATGAGGGTTTGTGGACATTAGTCTCCGCCCCTTTTGGACCAATGACTATGTGTTTTTTATCAATGCATTTCCTTGCCCATGTATGAGGATTTGTGGACATTAGTCTCCGCCCCTTTTGGACCAATGACTATGTGTTTTTTATCAATGCATTTCTTGTGTTTTAACGGTTTGCTTCTCTGATCTGTGTTGGCAAATTCAACAATTTTGTAAAGTCCTGCGAGATAATTTACTGTTGTGGTTTAGGGCTATACGAGAATGCATTGTATTGACTTTAATCATTCAACAGTTTACCTATGTCCTATAGTTACTAAAACTTGATGGAGTCAAAGTAATAAACTCTGCTTTCACAACAATCCAACTCTACCACATTAAAAATACACATATTATCTGCATTGCTACAGTATATAGGCAAGGCAAGTTTATTGTAATGCTGTAATTTAAAGTCAATCCTGACAAAATCACACGGACAAAAGACATAGTTCAGGCATTCTTTCTTCCATTGACCGCCATTGATGTATTTGTCTGAGACCGGTGATTTCTGTCAAACTTCCCTCTATTCGACTGTGGATTACAGAATAACAAAACTAGCTAGAAACCAACTTATTTTTGCCAATGAAAGTGGACAGTCCAGTCTTTCAGAATCTGGTTTCATATTTCACATAGTCATAGCACACAATATTCTGTGGCTCTTGAAAATCAGTGAAATCATCAAAAACGGCTGGCAGTCAATGAGTCAATACTTGGTTGCCTTTCCAACGAGACATGTCTTACAGTTATACAGTGTATATTTCAGCAACATGTGATTTACTAAAATTATAACTGAAAATAATTCTACAATGTCATTTTTTTGTATAGCACAGTTCATACACAAGGCATCTCAAAGTGCAGACACAATCGCTCGAGGCATAAGAATCCAAGATCTCGAAAAAAGTGACGGCTTACAGTCCGGAAATGAACTTTATTTTTGTGTTTGTCTGTAAAGTGCTGCGTGTTTGTGCTGCAGATGTGCTGTGAGTGCTGCCTGGTGGGTAAAGCGCTCCAGGAGAGAGGCCTCCCCTGTGACCCTGATCTGTCGGTCAGTTACCAGTGTGGGCTGGTGTCCCGGGCCTGCTGCGTGGACGGGCTCCAGGAGAACCAGACCGAGTCCACTGGGACCAATGAGTGTATGGGACAAATATCTATCTGTTATTAACTAACTCATAATTAGACCAAACGATAGGACGATGGGGTTGACGTTCGGTTGTGTTGTCTGTATTCTCTTTTATATAACTGAATGCCTGTGTACAGTATATTAATGTTAAAATGTTCAATAAATAAATACACAAAATAATTAGCTTCTATCACTGGTGTTCATGTGTTTTCGGTGAGGTAAAACAGCTCTATTGTTGTTTTTGTTCTCCTCTTAGTGCCGAACAAAGATGCCACTCCAGAAATCGAAGACAACTCGGTGGGATCCGACCAATGCAACGGTACATTTCCAAACTAGGACTTCCAGAAATGTAACTCCCAATAGCCGCCATTTTGACTGCTCCCATTCAGAACAAATATTGAATTCTGAGATAGTTCGTTTTCCTCCAGATTCTGTTTTATTATTAATTCATAATTATTAATTATTAAAAGTCCGGTGAGTAGTGTGTATGTTTCTGTTTTTGTTTTTTACATTTACTCACTTTTAAGTAAATCAGTGGCTAAAGAGTAATGCTAATGCTAAAGACTAAATGCTAATGCTGCTGACAGTAAACAATGTGTTGCTATGGTAACCAGCACTGGCTCTTCTCTGGTGAAAAACTGAACCAGAACCAGTCCAGATCCTGCACCTGGGTGAATGTTCCACAAACATGTTGTGTCTCCACAGGAGCCTGCGCTCACCAGTGTGTGGGCAACAACACCTGCAGCTGCCTCAAAGGATACAAACTCAAACCTGACGCAAAGAACTGCGATGGCGAGTGACGCATTTGACCCACTGACTGAACATGCATTTGACCCACTGACTGAACATGCATTTGACCCACTGACTGAACATGCATTTGACCCACTGACTGAACATGCATTTGACACACTGACTGAGCATGCATTTGACCCACTGACTGAGCATGCATTTGACCCACTGACTGAGCATGCATTTGGCCCACTGACTGAACATGCATTTGAACCACTGACTGAATGTGCATTTGACCCTGATTTGAAAGTGCAATTGACCCACATTTGAGCCTGTATAAGACTCTGACCAAACATGCATTTGACACACAACTGAACGTGCATTTGACCAAAATTTGTATGTGCATTTGCCACATTGACTGAATGTGCATTTGACCCACATTTTTGCATGTTTTCCACCTACATTTGAACATGCATATTAACAATTGTAAACCGCTTTGAGACTCAGATTTGCAGCGAAAAGGCGGTATATAAATAAAGATTACTTACTACTACTACTACCCACTGACTGAGCATGCATTTGACCCACTGACTGAACATGCATTTGACCCACTGACTGAGCATGCATTTGGCCCACTGACTGAACATGCATTTGAACCACTGACTGAATGTGCATTTGATCCACTGACTGAGCATGCATTTGACCCACTGACTGAGCATGCATTTGACCCACTGACTGAACATGCATTTGACCCACTGACTGAATATGCATTTGACCCACTGATTGAGCATGCATTTGACCCACTGACTGAGCATGCATTTGACCCACTGACTGAGCATGCATTTGACCCACTGACTGAGCATGTATTTGACCCACTGACTGAGCATGCATTTGACCCACTGACTGAACATGCATTTGAACCACCGACTGAATGTGCATTTGACCCTGATTTGAAAGTGCAATTGACCCACATTTGAGCCTGTATAAGACTCTGACCAAACATGCATTTGACACACAACTGAACGTGCATTTGACCAAAATTTGTATGTGCATTTGCCACATTGACTGAATGTGCATTTGACCCACATTTTTGCATGTTTTCCACCTACATTTGAACATGCATTCGACCAACGTGTGAACATACATTTGACCCACCTCTGAACATGTATTTGACCCACTTTGCCTGTCTCTCTTGCGCAGATATAAACGAGTGCTTGTTGGGGGTCAGTAACTGTCGTACAGGACAGCGCTGCATCAACACCGAGGGGTCGTATCGTTGTCAGCGCGAGGTCAGCTGCGGAACGGGCTACGAGCTAACGGACGCTAACGACTGCGAAGGTCCCAGCACCGTTCTATTCTGTTCTATACTATTCTGTTCTATTCTATTCTGTTCTATTCTATGTGTTTGTGTAGAAATACAGCACTATCAGATTCAGACAGTTTGAACACAGGAAATTCAATGAAAACAAACACAACGCTGGTCTCTCTTTGGTCTCTCTCTGGTCTCTTTCTAAGTCTCTCTCTGGTCTCTCTCTGGTGTCTTTCTAAGTCTCTTTCTCTGGTCTCTTTCTCTGGTCTCCCTCTAGTCTCTTTCTCTGGTCTCCCTCTGGTCTCTCTCTAGTCTCTTTCTCTGGTCTCCCTCTGGTCTCTCTCTAGTCTCTTTCTCTGGTCTCCCTCTGGTCTCCCTCTGGTCTCTCTCTGGTCTGTCTTTGGTCTCTTTCACCCCTGCAATAAACCAGGACCCAGTGAACTTTGCTGAAAGAAATGCGGCTAAAATACGCAGTCGTTATTACCCTCATGATTTCTCTTCTGTTGTTGATGATGATGATAATTATGATAATGAAGATGAAGATGTTGTTGTTGTTGTTGTTGATGGTGATGATGATGATGATGTTGTTTTTGTTGTTGTTGTTGTTGTGGTGTCAGACATAAACGAGTGTGAGACCGAGATCCATAACTGTGGTCCAGAGTTCGAGTGTCAGAACACTCAGGGCTCGTTCCGGTGTCTGCCCAAAGTCAAGTGTCCTGCAGGATTCATCCAAGACGCACTGGGAAACTGCATCGGTATTTACTACACACAGACACACACACGCACACACACTTACTACAGACACAGACACACACACACACTTACTACAGACACAGACACGCACAGACACACACACACACTTACTACAGACACGCACAGACACACACACACACACTTACTACAGACACAGACACACAGGGAAACTGCATAGGTATTTACTACACACAAACACACACACGCACACAGGCAGAACACACACACACTTACTACAGAAACACACACACACACTTACACTAGACTCATGCACAAATGTACACACAGACACAGCCACACGTACACAACGTGCTTACTACAGACACAGACATACAGTACACACACACACACAGACACACACACACACACACATACACGTTTTTGTTACCTGGTGGGTCCCTTTGACAGGGCCGTTCAGAATGGGACCCATAGACATAATCTTTTTTTACCAAGACTTTAAGTAATACAAAACAGTCAATAGAAACCAAACAACTATTTTAAAGGAATTTTATTTTAGATTTTGTTTTCGAATTGCAGTGATTCTATTTTTGACATAGAATTTAATGCCACTCCATGTCCGATGTCTAAGGTCATCTGGTGAGGCATTAATGCAGGCCAGGCAGTGAGACTTCCCAGGGACCTTTCCAGTCTGTATGAAAGGTGTCATGGTCTTCTCCACAGCCTTCACCTCAGATGCAGACCATGGCTTTCTTACACGTTCTAGGGAGAGAAATAAAAATATATTAGCGATATACACTCCCAGGGTGAGGACCAAGCAGCCTGGCTGTAATCCCCCACCTGGTACACTTACCAGAAGGGGCACTGCCACTACCATGGGGTGCATCTGGATGAATGGTTGAAGGTTCTCCGCTTGAAGTTTCTTTTAGCCCGTCCGTTTGTGAGAGGATCTCTACTGCTCTCCCTGTCGCACAGAAAATAAAAATACAAGTGGCCTTTAGGGGAAAAAAATCATACATATTTTAATAATATCAAGAATTACCTTCAGGCTCAATTTGTATCTGGTCGAGGCTCTTTCCTTCGAATTCCGTCACTCTTCCCTGCTCCATGGCCATCAACACTTTGCTGATTTTGGCCAGCTCCAGTGTCCCCTCTGGTAGTCTGTAATATTGCCTGTGGATGCGAATGTCATGGCCGAGGAAGTTGGCAAGTATGTCCATCTCATTCTCTTTCATATTGAGAACTGTAGACATAGTAGCTATGTGCTTTCTAAGTTTGGTTGAGGATAGCATCTCTGGATGCACCGCACCACATTCTTTGGCTACCTGGCGTAGGGAGTCTGATCCCCTGATGTGGGTGTCTGCGCCCGGGCGGGAAAAGAAGTATGGGTTATGGTCAGAGATGGAACAGGCCCTTCTGTTCTCCACCAGCACCTCCATCGAAGCAATCATTTCAGGAGTCAAAAGAACCGGCACTTTCCGACTTCTTTTCCCTTTAATTTCAATGCGTTGAAAATGCTGACACAGCTTTTTCTCAAGTTGGGACAGTCCCAGAGCAATGTCAGAATGGATCCCAGTCTTACTTCTTAAGGTAAAGGCTGTCAGTGGCATCTTTGAAACCTCACCTTCCCTTCTTCGATTGAAAATGATGACCTCACAAAGAGTCAAAACTGCCAGTTTAGACCAATGCTTAGACGTTGGCTCACTTATTAGGGTTTGCACATATTCAGGTCGACATACCTCAATATGTGCATGCATGGCTCTAACGTCCTCAGTCAGAGGGAGCAGGTCCGGAGTGTTCCACTTGGCTTGCCGGAGGGTCTGTAGGGCAGCAGAAGAAACACAGACGTCCCACCTCTTCTCAAAAAGCAGCCGGCTTCGTTGAAGGTTTTTAATAAATAGTTCATCAACACAATGCTCCATTTTTGAGTCACATTCAAGAATATCTGCTAGCTTTCTGAGGCTATGGCCGAGTTTGAGGGCCAAGGATGGAGTCTTGTATTGATTTGTTTCCTCATCATATCCAGCCACAGACCTGACTGCATCAATCACATGGTTAAAGTTGGAAGGAATAAAGAAATCCTTAATTGTTTTCAGTTTCCCTGCGGTTTTTGCTTCGTTAATTAACCTACCGACTTCTCTCATTTTCTGCCTAATGTAATCATGCTTTGTCTTATCATGCCCGTGTTTTAAGTACAGGTGCTCTCCGAGTCTCAGAATCCCCTTTTCTGCTTTGACAACACCCGTGACCTCATCCTGATGCATTGCCGAAATTAAAGACCACAGCTTTTTGCTGATGCCCTCCGGTACAGGCTGGGCTAGGGAGCAGAGGGACTGGACCCTACTTCTACCTGGTTTAGCCTGGGCATCTTTCTGTGAAAGCCGGCACCTGGCCACATGCCTCCACAGCGACTTTCGCTTAAGCAATGCCCCACAGTCTATACAGTGCAAAAACTCACTGGATTTAACTGGGGAATTTGGCTGTTTAGCTGGGACTAAAGTTCCAATGCCGGCCTTTAAAACCTCAAAATTGTGCTCACGGTTTCCACTATTCCTGATCAAATCAAACTGAAGTTTACGTGCTTTAGATTTCACAGGTAGAGCCAATGCTCTGGCTACGTCACTTTCATTTCCATGTTTTCTAGTCAAATGACGGGACATTTTGTGGCAGGACATTGAACAGTAGAGGCAGAAGTGTCTCTTGCTGTATACTCGCCCCCCATTTTTCTTCTTTTGCAGCTGCATGATAACAATCTTATTTGCCTTTGGTTCGTCACTTTCCGAGTCTTGAAGAAAAGTGTTTTTGATTTTTCTTTTTTCCATACTTTTTACAGGTTTCTTCTTGACAGTTAAATCGTCAGAATCTGAGTCGACTTCATCAATTAGGGACTCTTGACTAAGCTGCACAAACAACAAATAATTTGTAATCATTCTATATAACAATTTGAAGTCATGACTTGTAGTCAGCACTTACCAGTGGTTTGTAAGCGTGCGCTTCAGTGTGCTCCTCCATAATTTCTTGCAGCCTAATGAACCACACACTTGCACCTTTTTCTAGCCTGACACCTGATTTCCTCTGTTGTGCTGCTCCATGATTGGCTCCAGCCTGCTGGACTGAAATTGCCCCAGTGTGCCCCTCCTTGATATCCCGCAACCCACCACCAGGGTTCCGACACATAACACACTTTTTTCAGGAAAGTAAACCTCCAGGGGTCCTTTCCATATTTTTACAGAGACTGCATAAGGACCGTTAGAAAAGCATTACCCATTGATTATTAAGCTTGGACCAGTGGGGTCCGGTGTTCGGGCCCCACCACGTAAAACCAGTCCCCATGACGTGAGTGGAATCTCAGGTTATGGAACCCACCAGGAGTTGAAAACAAGTGCACGCGCGCACACACACACACACACACACACACACACTCTCAGACTGTTGTGTGTCTGCAGATATAAACGAGTGTGTGAGTCAGAGTAGCCCCTGTCACAGAGGACACCTGTGCATCAACACTGTGGGCTCCTACACCTGTCAGAGGAACTCCGTCAACTGTGGCCGAGGATACCACCTGAACCCGGAGGGCACGCGCTGCACTGGTACTAAGCATGAGGACGTGGCACCTGACACATGTTTACCTAGCACAGGACACATGAGGACGTAGCACCTGACACATGAGGACGTAGTACCTGACACATGTTTACCTAGCACAGGACACATGAGGACGTAGCACCTGACACATGTTTACCTAGCACAGGACACATGAGGACGTGGCACCTGACACATGTTTACCTAGCACAGGACACATGAGGACGTGGCACCTGACACATGTTTACCTAGCACAGGACACATGAGGACGTGGCACCTGACACATGTTTACCTAGCACAGGACACATGAGGACGTGGCACCTGACACATGTTTACCTAGCACAGGACACATGAGGACGTGGCACCTGACACATGTTTACCTAGCACAGGACACATGAGGACGTAGCACCTGACACATGAGGACATAGTATCTGACAAATGAGGACGTAGCACCTGACACATGAGGGCGTAGCACCTGATGCATGAGGACGTAGCACCTGACACATGAGGACGAAGCATCTGACACATATGAACGTAGCACCTGATGCATAAGGACATAGCACCTGACACATGAGGATGAAGCACCTGATGCATGAGGACGTAGCACCTGACGCATGTGTACTTATCATCTGACATGGATTAGAAGTTCATTAAGGTACAAAAAAAAGTATAAATTAGGATACTTTCAGAACTCCATAAGTTTAAATGGGAGCAGTCCAAATGACGGCTCTGGGAGTTCTAGTGTTAACATAATGGCAGATTTACGTGGTTGTATTCCTCAGATATTGATGAGTGTAAGAACCCTGACAAAGTGTGCGAGGGCCACGGCTGCGTGAACCTGGTGGGATCGTACCGCTGTGAGTGTGAGGCCGGATACATCTTCAACAGCATCAGAAGGACCTGCGAGGGTGGGCACCTTTCACTCACCTTCATATGTGTTTCAAATCTTTAAAGTTTAAAGTGTGAGTGTGTGGGTCTGTGTGTGTGTGTATGTGAGTGAGTGTGAAGCTATCTCCGGCAGCTCAGGAAAGCAAAGGAGTCTGCTTTCAGGGAGGGGGACCGCAGCGGCTACAAAGCAGCTAAATATCAGTTCAGGAGAGAACTGAAAGCAGCCAAGTCCCGGCACAGAGAACGACTACAGGAGCAGTTTGGTAACAACGATACTGCTTCTGTCTGGAGGGGCCTACGGGAGATCACCAACTACAAACCCAAAGCCCCCCCCTGTGCTGACGACCACAAGCTAGCTGACGATCTGAACTTATTTTTCAGTCGCTTTGATGCTGCCCCTGACACCTCTCCCTCCCCCCCCCCCCCCTACTCTAACGACCCACCCATCAGCCCTGCCCCCAGCCTAACAATAGCCGCTAAAGAGATTAAACAACTCTTCCTGAGGCTGCACCCCCGCAAAGCTCCTGGCCCGGACCACGTGTCTCCGGCCACTCTGAGACACTGCGCCAGTGAGCTTACTCCTGTGTTCACGGACATTTTCAACACCTCTCTGCAGTCCTGCCACGTCCCGGCCTGCTTCAAATCCTCCATCATTGTCCCCGTCCCGAAGAAGCCCAGGATCACAGGACTCAATGACTACAGACCTGTAGCACTTACGTCTGTCGTCATGAAGTCATTTGAACGCCTGGTTCTCTCCCATCTCAAGTCCCTCACCTCCCCCCTCCTGGACCCCCTGCAGTTCGCCTACAGAGCCAACAGATCTGTAGACGACGCCATTAACCTGGCCCTCCACCACATCCTACAGCACCTGGACTCCCCGGGGACCTACGCCAGGGTCCTGTTCGTGGACTTCAGCTCTGCCTTCAACACAATCCTGCCATCCCTGCTCCAGGACAAGCTCTCCCAGCTCAACGTGCCCGATTCCACCTGCTGGTGGATCACTGACTTCCTGACGGACAGGAAGCAGCGAGTGCGTCTGGGGAAGAATGTCTCGGACTCTCGGATTATAAATACAGGAGCCCCACAGGGCTGTGTTCTTTCTCCCCTGCTCTTCTCCCTGTACACCAACCACTGCACCTCCAGCCACGACTCCGTGAAGCTGATCAAGTTCGCGGACGACACCACCCTCATTGGACTCATCTCCAACAACGATGAGTCCGCCTACAGGAGGGAGGTGGACCGGCTGGTGTCCTGGTGCAGTGGTAACAACCTGGAGCTGAACGCCCAGAAGACAGTGGAGATGATTGTGGACTTCAGGAAGAGCACTGTCCCCCCGCCCCCACCCTCCGTGATGGACTCCCCCATCACCTCTGTGGAGTCCTTCCGTTTCCTGGGCACCACCATCACCCAGGACCTCAAGTGGGAGCCGACCATCAGCTCCCTCATCAAGAAGGCCCAGCAGAGGATGTACTTCCTGCGGCAGCTCAGGAAAGCCAAGCTGCCTGCACAGATGTTGGTGCAGTTCTACACGGCCATCATCGAGTCCATCCTCACCTCCTCCATCACCTCCTCCATCACCTCCTCCGTCACCGTGTGGTTCGCTGGAGCCACAGTCAGGGACAAACAGAGACTACAGCGCATTGTGCGCTCTGCAGAGGAAGTGATCGGCCGCAGCCTTCCATCGCTGCAGGACCTGTACGTCGCCCGAGCTCGAGGCCGGGCTGGTCGTATCACAGCCGACCCCTCTCACCCTGCACATGGACTATTCCAACCACTCCCCTCAGGCAGGAGGCTGCGGTCCATCAGGACTAGAACTTCCCGCCACAAGAACAGTTTCTTCCCCTCTGCTGTTGGACTCTTGAACACTTCTTAACCTGTCCCCCCGCCCTTTATAAAGTCACTTTACTGCCCATCATACGTCACTTTACTTCACTGTACTGCTGTTCACCTTACATTGTGTGCACCATGTGCACTTGTATATTGTAAATAGTAACTGTAACTCTATTTTAAATGTAAATTTATTCTTTAGAAGTGTTTTTTATTCTTATTTTTATTATCTCTTTTTGACTGTTGCACTGAGCCAAAGCAATTTCCTAGTCTGTGACCTCCTGTTACTTACGTGGCAATAAAAATGATTCTGATTCTGATTCTGATTCTGATCTACATCCTTAACAGCTTCGACAGGACCTGTGAGGGTGGATTTTATATATGTTTCAAATCTCTAAAGTGCTAAATGTGTGTGTGTGTGTGTGTGTGAGGCTAATAATAATAATAATAATAATAATGTGTTTTAGATGTGAATGAGTGCAGGCACTACCCCGGACGCCTCTGTGCCCACAAATGTGAGAACACTCTGGGGTCTTACAAGTGCAGCTGCACCACAGGCTTCAGGCTGGCAGCTGACGGCAGGAACTGTGACGGTGAGAGAGACACACACAGATGCACACACACAGAGAGACAGACACACGCACACGCACACAAACACACACAGATGTACACATACAGGGAAGATTCACCGGCCTCACACCCCTTTTTGTGTCCTCACTATTTCACAGATCTCTCTGGTCTCTCTCTTTCTCTGGACTCACTCTCTGGTCTCTCTGATTCTGGTCTCCCTCTCTGGTCTCACTCTCTGGTCTCTCCCTGGTCTAACTCTCTGGTCTCTCTGACTCTGGTCTCTCTCTGGTCTCTCTCTCTGGTCTCTTTCTCTGGTCTCACTCTCTGGTCTCTCTGACTCTGGTCTTTCTCTGGTCTCACTCTCTGGTCTCTCCCTGGTCTCACTCTCTGGTCTCACTCTCTGGTCTCTCCCTGGTCTAACTCTCTGGTCTCTCTGACTCTGGTCTCTCTCTGGTCTCTCTCTCTGGTCTCTCTCTCTGGTCTCACTCTCTGGTCTCTCTGACTCTGGTCTTTCTCTGGTCTCACTCTCTGGTCTCTCTGACTCTGGTCTCTCTCTGGTCTCACTCTCTGGTCTCTCTCTGGTCTCACTCTCTGGTCTCTCTCTGGTCTCTCTCTCTGGTCTCACTCTCTGGTCTCTCTCTCTGGTCTCACTCTCTGGTCTCACTCTCTGGTCTCACTCTCTGGTCTCTCTCTCTGGTCTCACTCTCTGGTCTCACTCTCTGGTCTCACTCTCTGGTCTCTCTCTGGTCTCACTCTATGGTCTCTCTCTGGTCTCTCTCTGGTCTCTCTCTGGTCTCACTGTCCGGTCTCTCTCCAGTCATGTAGCCCACAGCCCTGCCCCTCAGCCCTCAGTCTCCTCTGCAGCTGTGTTTTACAGTGTATGCACAGCTTTTGACAGCTGCAGCAGCTCAGACCTACAGTAGGTTTGATATCTCCACGATGGCACTTCAGTCGTGAGTTCAGGTTGTTAGAAAGTTGTGTATAAAGTTATTTTTAGACAAAACAATAACCCAGGGACAAGTTTATACCATTTTCTTTCTGGTATTGTACAAAAGCTCATGTTGTGTGTTTTGTAGATTTGAACGAGTGCGCTGAGAATCCCTGCAGTCAGGAATGTGCCAACGTCTATGGTTCGTACCAGTGCTACTGCCGCAGAGGGTACCAGCTGAGCGACGTGGACGGCATGACGTGTGAAGGTAAACCATAAGACGGACGTATCCATGGTTACTGTTGGTGTGAAGACATGTATGGACAAAACATTTATCACTGAGTCGATCTGAGGAGATGGCAAACGTGCAGGTCATGCAAGGTGGCCCAGGAATTTATAGGAATTGGAGGATTTTTGTAGAGAAGAATGGGCAGTTTTACCATCAAAGGAGATCAGAGAGAGAGACTGTGAGACCAGAGAGAGAGACCAGTGAGAGATCAGAGAGAGACCAGAGAGAGAGACCAGAGAGAGACTGTGACACCAGAGAGAGACTAGAGAGAGAGACCAGAGAGAGAGACCAGAGAGACCAGAGTGAGACTGTAAAACAAGAGTAAGACCAGAGAGATGCCAGAGAGAGACCAGAGAAAGAGAGACCAGAGACTGTGAGACCAGAAATAGACCTGAGAGAGAGTCCAGAGAGAGAGACTGAGACCAGAAAGACTGTGGGACCAGAGAGAGACCAGAAAGGGATACCAGAGACCGTGAGAACAAAGAGAAAGACCAGAGACAACCATAACTACCACACACACTATTGAGAACTGAGGAATGGAGATTTAGGATCCACTTTCTGCTTTCATTATAATAATAATAATAAAAAAAGAAAATAGAAAAACACATTTTTGACAATACATGGCTTCACACACAACCACTAACAATACAAAATCCTTCGGTCTAAACTTTTAGGCACAATCGTACATTCATTCTCTTTCTCCTTCCCTGCTCCCTCAGACATCGATGAGTGTGCGCTGCCCACTGGTGGCCACATCTGCTCCTACCGCTGCCACAACACTCCAGGAAGCTTCCACTGCTCCTGCCCCGTCAGCGGCTACACCCTGGCTCCCAACGGACGCAGCTGTCAGGGTAAAAAAAGATCAGATTCTGGTCCAGTTTATTTGCCATTTTCAGTAAAACCCCATTGGAATACACGTGCAAAAGTCCCCATTGCGCATCAGGCAAGGACGTGAATAAAACGAGCAAAAAAAGGACAAGATGAGACACATATTTCGTCCGAATTTCAATGTCAGAGTTGCGGACATTGCAGAAGAATCAAATGAAATTGTGGCAAGTTAAGGCATTGTCTGAGAAGAAGCCTGTCTCGCATTTTCAGGAAGAGTGTTCCAGATTTCAGCTGCATGAATCTGAAATGCTGCCTCCCCATGTTTAGTCCTAACTCTGGGACCAGATAGATAATCATATGTTGATACAATTAAACTGGAGCAATATTTCCAGGATAAGTCACTGCATCCTGAGCTATTAACAGATATTGTCTAGAAAATATGAGCAGAATAAACAATAGCAATAATTAAGATCAAGATGAAGAGATCCTTTTTTGTCCCACAGTGGGGAAATGTCAGTGTTGCATCAGCAGTTACAGAACAGTAGAATGAGGAGCACACAGCACAAGATACATGAACAATAACTCTATACTAAAGTAACATAAAATCTGTAATGTTAGCATAATAAAGAAGCTAGTATAAAATCACTAGCTTTAGCATATTAGCTGAGAGGAGTGACTGATAGATTTTCAGATCAGGAGATTGGTTCATGTTTAGTGTTTTGTTTCCTGCTTTAGATGTGGACGAGTGCGTGACGTCGACGCACACGTGCAGCGTGGACCAGAGCTGCTTCAACATCCAGGGAGGGTTCAGATGTCTGTTTTTCGACTGTCCTTCAAACTACCGCAAAGTGGGAGAGACGTGAGTGGTGCTTTTTAACGGTGAAATATCAGCTGAGTTTGAATGTGTCTGAAACAAGGAAGAAAAAGAAAAACAAGACATTTATAGACCATCGCTAAAGTGACCAGAGAGAGAGATAGAGAGAGAGAGAAAAGAGAGAGAGACCAGAGAGAAAGAGAGAGAGATAGATTAGAAAGAGCAGAGACCAGAGAAAGACCAGAGAGAGAGAGAGACCAGAGAGAGAGATAGAGCAGATAGAGAGCAGAGAGAGAGACCAGAGAACGACCAGAGAGAGAGCGACCAGAGAGACCAGAGCGAGAGAGAGAGAGGGAAAGAAAGAGAGACCAGAGCGAAAGAGAGAGAGAGAAAAGAGAGAGAGACATATCAGAAAGAGACCAGAGAAATACCAGATAGAGAGACCAGAGAGAGAGAGAGACCAGATAGATAGAGAAAGACCAGAGAGAGAGACCAGAGAACGACCAGAGAGAGAGAGCTAGAACAGAGAGAGAGAGACCAGAGAGAGAGAGAAACCAGAGAACAGCCAGAGAGAGAGCAACCACAGATACCAGAGAGAGAGAGACCAGAAAGAGAGAGACCAGAGAGAGAGAGAGACAAGACAGAGACATTTCAGTGAGACCGGAGACAGACCGGAGAGTTAAATGCAGTTGCTACTTATTGTCAACATCGAAATCTCAAATACATAAAAACATCTGAAGACAAAACAATAAACATTCCACCACAGATGTAGAGCTTCCCCAAAGTCCACAGAGAGAGAACCCGGAGACTCGTATAAAACTGTCCTGGTCGGAATGAGAGCTGTGCACGTCCACTCACCGGGCAGAAGCATGATTTCAATAAATAACAAAAAAACGATAACCTCCTCGAGTTTCACACCGTCAGTTTGAACGAGCTGCATGACCGGACTCACTCACTTCTCGCCCTGTAAGAAAGGAGAAGGGAAAACACAATAGGTCCGAGTATGGGTCCCTGAGGAGTCCCAGAGAGAGCCGCCCGGGCAGAAGCATGAGCTAAACAAGAATACAGTCAATAATGAGACTTAAGCTGTTTTCTTGAAGCAGAAGGAAAGGTTTGCATGACTGTGATTCACCTGCACTGATGTGAAGGTCTGCCACTGCATGACGTGCACGGGACATGACCAGAGAGAGAGAGAGAGAGAGCTGAGAGAAGGAGAGAGAAGAGTGAGAGAGAGAGTGAGAGAGGCAGCAGAGAGAGAGAGAGAGAGAGCAAAAAGAGACCAGACAGAGACCAGCAGGAGATCAGAGAGAGACCAAAGAGAGAGATCACAAGAGGAGCCGGAGAGAGACACTAGAGGGACCAGGGAGAGACCAGAAATTGACCAGAAATAGGCCAGAGAGAGACTAGAGAAGCCAGAGACAGACCAGGTAGAGACCAGAGTGAGACCAGAGAGAGACCAGTTATTAACCAGAAATAGGCCAGAGAGAGACCAGAGAAGTCAGAGACAGGCCAGGTAGAGACCAGAGATAGACCAGAGATAGACCAGAGATAGACCAGAGATAGACCAGAGAGAGACCAGAGAGAGACCAGAGAGAGACCAGAGAGAGACCAGAGAGAGACCAGAGAGAGACCAGAGAGAGACCAGAGAGAGACCAGAGAGAGACTAGAGGGACCAGAGAGAGACCAGAAATTGACCAGAATTTGGCCAGAGAGAGACTTGAGAAGCCAGAGACAGGCTTGGTAGAGACCAGAGAGAGACCAGAGAGACACCAGAGAGAGACTAGAGAGAGACCAGAAAGAGACCAGAGAGAGACCAGGCTGAGACCAGAGACGTGACTCCACTGCATGCCACGCACGGCAAATGAAACTCACTCTTGTCTCTTCTCTTTGTGCCTGTCTTCTTCTTCTTCTTCTTCTCTCGCAGTCGATGTGAACGTTTGCTTTGCAATGAGTCTGTGGAGTGTGTGGCCAGCCCCCTGAGAATAACCCACTACTACCTCACCTTCCCCACCAACATCCCCGTCTTCACCAACATCTTCCGCATGGGCCCGTCCCAGACCCTGCTGGGGGACGACCTCCAGATCGCCATCACCGCGGGCAACCAGGACGGCTTCTTCCGGACCGACCGCTCGCCCACCGGAGGCGTCCTGTCCGTGGCCAAGCTCCTGACCCGGGCGCAGGACTTTGAGCTGTCGGTGGAGCTGAGGCTGAGGAGGTTCGACTCCCTCAGCACGTACCTTGCCAAAGTGCATGTGTTCGTGACCAAGGACGAGCCCGCGGTGCCGTACAACCCTCTCCTGGAGTGAGAGCCCGGGCCCTCGCTGCAGATGTGAATGTAGTGAGAGGTGTGAGGGACCTGAGCGGGGTCACTGTGGTCTCTGTGCAGATCCAGCTTCACTCGACTCTAATCCACCAGGAGCAAACTTTGTACTTTATCACAATGAGAGGAAATTAGTTTGTACGTAGCTTTGTGAGTTCTGTTCACTCTGGTCTCTCTCTGGTCTCTCTCTGGTCTCTCTCTGGTCTCTCTCTAGTCTCTCGCTGGTCTCTCTCTGGTCTCTCCCAAGTCTGTTCTCTTTCTTTTCTCTCTTGTCTCTCTCTGGCTGGTATCTGCTTTCTCTGGTTAATTGCTGATCTCTCTCTGGCCTATCTCTGGTCTCTCTCTGGTCTCTCTCTGGTCTCCCTCTAGTCTCTCCATCCATCCATCTTCTTCCCCTTAATCCATTTCTGGGTTGGGGGGGTGGCAGTCAGAGCTGCACCCAATTCACTTAGCACCAGCCCCTAACCTCTAGTCTCTCTCTCCCGCCTATTTCTGGTCGCTCTCTGGTCCCTGGTCTCTTTCTCTCTGGTATCTCTATAGTTTCTCTGTTCTCTCTCTGTTCTCTCTCTGATCTCTCTGATCTCTCTCTGGTCTCACTCTGGTCTCTCTGATCTCTCTCTCTTTCTGGTCTCTCTCTTGGTGAGCTTCGACACATATATTTTTTGTCTGTATTTATTGTTCATTGTTCTGTTGATAACTCATCCTCTTTTGTTGCTATGGCTGTAATTAACAATGAATTTAACCAAAACAGAACCAAAGAACAACTTTACCGAGACTGATTTAATCCATAGGGAACAGAAAGACCACTGTCCATAAATGTTAATAAATGTCCTTAAATGTCTCAGATCGTCACTGTCCTCAGAGCCTCCTGCATCGACAACAAACGACTGAAATAAAACAGTGGGAAAACATTTGAGAATCCTCCGCGAGACCCATGTTTAGAGAGGGTCTCCCACAGATGGACCGACCGAAGATCCAGGACTGAAGCTGTGTAGATCCAGGACTGAGGTTGTAGATCCAGGACTGAGGCTGTAGATCCAGGACCGAGGCTGTAGATCCAGGACTGAGGCTGTAGATCCAGGACTGAGGCTGTAGATCCAGGACTGAGGCTGTAGATCCAGGACTGAGGCTGTAGATCCAGGACCGAGGCTGTAGATCCAGGACTGAAGCTGTGTAGATCCAGGACTGAGGCTGTAGATCCAGGACTGAGGCTGTAGATCCAGGACCGTGGCTGTAGACCCAGGACTGAGGTTGTAGATCCAGGACTGAGTCTGTGTAGACCCAGGACTGAGTCTATAGACCCAGGACTGAGGCTGTAGACCCAGGACTGAGGCTGTAGATCCAGGACTGAGGCTGTAGATCCAGGACTGAGGCTGTAGATCCAGGACTGAGGCTGTAGATCCAGGACTGAGGCTGTAGATCCAGGACCGAGGCTGTAGATCCAGGACTGAAGCTGTGTAGATCCAGGACTGAGGCTGTAGATCCAGGACTGAGGCTGTAGATCCAGGACCGTGGCTGTAGACCCAGGACTGAGGTTGTAGATCCAGGACTGAGTCTGTGTAGACCCAGGACTGAGTCTATAGACCCAGGACTGAGGCTGTAGACCCAGGACTGAGGCTGTAGATCCAGGACTGAGGCTGTAGACCCAGGACTGAGGCTGTAGATCCAGGACTGAGGTTGTAGATCCAGGACTCCGGCTGTAGATCCGGGACTGAGGCTGTAGACCCAGGACTGAGGCTGTAGATCCAGGACTCCGGCTGTAGACCCAGGCCTGAGTCTATAGACCCAGGACTGAAGCTATCACATTAAGGCACTATCCCCAAACCTTACACATCTCCAGAGCAGTAATACCACTCAGCCGCCACCAGATGGAGCCCTCACCCAGCCTAACCCCATGGTCTCGGCCCGTGTGTAACTCGAGTCTCGCTGCCTGGTAAACCCTAACTTTTAAGAAGTGTTTTAGGGGTTGTTTTTGTGTGTTGGATGAACGCGTTTCTATTAACATTGAAATAGAAATAACACATGCTCAACAAGTCTCTTTCTAGTTCCTGAAGCCACAACACAAAGGCCCTCATTCAGCTGCAGCTCCGCTCTCGGACTAATGCGTTTGATAGCAGCTTGTGTTTACATTTCTTTCAAAATCCCCACCACAAACCTTCCCGCGGCGTGCCAGCGTTCTCAGAGTGATTCATACTCTGTCTAAGCCATCACTTACTTGAATTATAAATGCATCAATTATTCTCTTCCACTTTTTGGCCTCGTCTTCTGTATCCACTAGACTTTCATTACAGGTCTGCAGCCAAACAAGGAGCAGTCACATCTCATTCATCAGGTCTCTCTCTCTCTGGTCTTTCTTCTTTCGCTTTCTCTGGTCTCTTTCTCTGGTCTCTTTCTTTGGTCTCTTTCTTTGGTCTCTACCTCGACTTTCTCTCTCTGGTATCTCTTTCTGGCCTCTCTGTCTCTCGACTCTCTCTCTCTCTCTGCATTGTCTTTCTTGGGTCTCTCTTAGGTTCTCTCTCTCTCTGGTCTCTCCTATTCTCTGGTCTGTCCCTGGCCTTTCTCTCTCTCTGATTGCTCTCTCCGGTGCACGTTCCAATCTTCAGGAGAAAAAACTGGCATTTCCTTTTGGTGACATCACAGAGAGAACCCCCCACAGAGGATCCACTCAGCGGGGTCTCCTTTAAATACATACATATCCCCTCTCTCTGACAATGGGGCTCTGGGCTCTCTCTCTCGGGTCTCTTTGTTTCTGCTCTCTCTTACTCTCTGGTGTCTCTCTGGTCTCTCATTCTCTGCTCTCTCTGATCTCTCTCGCTCTGGTGTCTCTCTGGTCTCTCATTCTCTGCTCTCTCTGGCTCTGGTGTCTCTCTGGTCTCTCTTTCTGGTCTGTCTCTGATAACTTAATCTCTGGTGTCTCTCTGGTCGCTCTTTCTCTGGTCTATCTCTGATAACTTAATCTCTGGTGTCTCTCTGGTCTCTCTTTCTTTGGTCTGTCTCTGATAACTTAATCTCTGGTGTCTCTCTGGTCCCTCTTTCTCTGGTCTATCTCTGATAACTTAATCTCTGGTGTCTCTCTGGTCTCTCTTTCTCTGCTCTCACTGATCTCTCTTGCGCTCTGGTGACTCTCTCTCTGGTTTCTTTCTGTTCTCTTTCTCTGATCACTCTATCTTTCTCTGATCTCTCTGCTCTCTCTTCTTTGGACGTCCACACCCGTTCAAACGAACCCACAGATCCACTCGGTCCCTGGGGGTGTGGGGGTCTCTCCTTTAAAATAAGTGTTGAGAAGTATTGGAGAGGACTTTTCCCCCCTCTCCGTCTGATACTGAGTTATGGGCCCTCTCTCTCTCTCTCTCTCTCTCTCTCTCTCTCTCTCTCTCTCTCTCTCTCTCTCTCTCTCTGAGTTATGGGCCCCGGGCTCTGGACGGTGGTCTGAACAATTTGTGGTCCGGCAGCATCAGCGCACAGAATGACTGATGCCCGACGGTGTTTATGTTGGGGCGTTATCAATGTGCTCACTATAAATAATAATTACACACACACACACACACAAAGAAGTTAAAACGGGCTCTACGCTTGACCATAAGAGACTTCATCCAAAAGAAGTCTTGTTTTTCTTTCTGGTCTGAAAACTATTGGGGTTTTGCAGCTGGGCCGGGTTAGGCACAGAGAGAAGAAGAAATGTACCATACAAGAGCTAACATTTTAGATTAGCCCACACAATTTAACAGCTAATGAAGTGATAATTAGTGTGCGCTAATGCTAACCCATATGGGAAAGTGTCAGTTAGCAGTTAGCTACAGAGCTTAATAAATACCATCCATTTTCTTCCCCCAATAAATAACAATTAAGTGCTAATTTTCCATTAATTATAGACTAGTTATCACCGATCATCAGCTGAAAACTAGTGAGGGATAAGCTGTACTTTTCTCGGGCTTCTCAATCAGTGGGCCGCACACACTTGTTACAAATGTAATTTTTATTATAATAATAATGCATCGGTTTTATATAGCGCTTTTCTGGACACTCAAAGACGCTTCACATGTGTCATTATTCATTCACTCCATACACGGTGGTGATAAACTACTGCTGTAGCCACAGCTGCCCTGGGGCACACTGACAGAAGCGAGGCAACCAGTATGTGCCATCTGCCCCTCCGACCACCACCAGCCATTCACACACACACCAGACTCATTCTAGGCAATGGGGGTGAAGTGTCTTGCCTAAGGACACAACGGCAGTTTGGCACTTTACAGCCGCAGCCGCCCCACTGTGGCTGGTGTTCCCAGAGGTTAAGTGTCTTGCCAAGGACACAACGACAGTAGACAGTGGGAGTCGATGGTGAAAGTCTTGAGCGGGGCTTGAACCCACGACCTTCTGGCTCAAAGGCCAAAGCTCTACCAACTGAGCTACTGCCGCCCTGAGTATCTTGAGTGTTTTAGAGTAGGAAGTGAGGAGATGGTTAAAGCTGGGTACCGGACCTTTGAACCAGGGTCTCTGGGCTATAAAGACAAGATACAGACGACAATGTGTGGTCTTTCTGACGGGACAGATCCGACCAGAGAGACCAGAGAGAGACCGGAGAGAGACCGGAGAGAGAGACCAGAGAGAGACCGGAGAGAGACCGGAGAGAGACCAGAGAGAGACCAGAGAGAGACCAGAGAGAGACCGGCGAGAGACCAGAGAGAGACCAGAGAGAGACCAGAGAGAGACCGGAGAGAGACCGGAGAGAGACCAGAGAGAGACCGGAGAAAGACTAGAGAGAGACCAGAGAGACCAGAGAGAGACCAGAGAAGAACCAGAGAGAGACCAGAGAGTCCAGAGGGAGACTGAAGAAAGACCTGAGAGAGAGACCAGAGAGAGACCGGAGAGAGACCGGAGAAAGACCAGAGAAGAACCAGAGAGAGACCAGAGAGAGAGACCAGAGGGAGTCCAGAGGGAGACCCAAGAAAGACCTGAGAGAGAGACCAGAGAGAGACCAGAGAGAGACCAAAGAGAGACCAGAGAGGGACCAGAGCGAGACCAGAGAAGAACCAGAAAAAGACCAGAGAGAGACCAGAGAGAGACACCAAAGAGAGACCAGAGAGGGACCATCAAGAGACTCATCAAGAACACCAGAAAGCGACCAGAGAGAGACACCAGAGACAGGCCAGAGAGAGACCAGAAAGACACCAGAGAGAGAGAGAGACCAGAGAGAGAGCCCAAAGAGTAAAACCAGAGAGAGAGAGAAAAGAGAAGATGCACATGTCTAAGAATAAATAATCTGTATTTATTTAAAAGTACCTTCAGCTAAAGTCCCTTTGACTCTGGACAAACAGCAGCAGCAGGTCTGGGACCAGCGCGGGACAGAAATAGCTGCACTTGCCGTTGTTTTGAAAGTCCTCTGCAGAGTGGGACAGCCGAGGGAACGCTGTAATATTCTCATAAATTTACTCCGGGCCTAAAGGAGCGTTTTCACCTTGTCCTCCAGAGACCCGCGAGTCCGACCAACTACACAGAACATTTGGTGGTTTTGGCCCCGGAGCCGGAGTCAAACTTGGATCAACTCGCTAATTGCTAATTACAAGCCCCTATACTCAGCAGTGGCTTGTCTTTATGTCTTCTTTCCTCGCTCTTCAAGAAAACGGAGGAGTGCAAATTTAAAAGTTTCGAAGCGTGGTTGAGGGATATGGGTCCCCAGAGGAGGCCCCGGAGAGAGATCCTCCGCCTATGACTCAAGCGTGCGGCTAACGCTAACCTGAGTGTTTTCATAACCCGATATAACCGACTTCTGCTGCGAGAAGGACCTTAAATATACCTTAGTATTCTCTACACAGCGAGTGGGCTAGCTACTTTATTATGCTAAAGCTAGAGATTCTATACTAGCTTCTCCCGGCTGTAGATCCAGGACTGAGGCTGTAGATCCAGGACTGAGGCTGTAGATCCAGGACTGAGGCTGTAGATCCAGGACTGAGGCTGTAGATCCAGGACTGAGGCTGTAGATCCAGGACTGAGGCTGTAGATTCAGGACTGAGACTGTAGACCCAGGACTGAGGCTGTAGACCCAGGACTAAGGCGGTAGACCCGGGACTAAGGCTGTAGACCCAGGACTAAGGCTGTAGATCCAGGACTGAGGCTGTAGATTCAGGACTGAGACTGTAGACCCAGGACTGAGGCTGTAGACCCGGGACTAAGGCTGTAGACCCAGGACTAAGGCGGTAGACCCGGGACTAAGGCTGTAGATCCAGGACTGAGACCGTAGACCCAGGACTGAGACTACAGATCTAGGACTGAGGCTGTAGACCCAGGACTGAGCCTGTAGATCCTGGACTCAGGCTGTAGAGGGGGGTGCAGCCCACGAGTCCAGGCCCGGGACAGACCAGTCCACAGGTGCTGGTAAATGAGTCCGGGTTCAGGGTTCACCTCGGAGACAGTCGGTGGTGATCCCTCGGTGGTCTTCGGGTCTTCAGCCCCTGAGCTCCTGATGAGAGTGAAATAAACAAAGGCTTACAAATGGCCGACAGCCCGGACCGGGACGAGACCGGGGAGGGGTCCAGTCCCGTTCCTGGTGATTTAGGAGCCTCTTAGAACACTCCCTGGTCCCATAAATACTCGTCAGGAGATTATCTGATGTTAAGTGGAAACGCTGCTAAATCCACATATTTTCTTGAGCAGGTAACACATCATGCAGTGAGTGGTGCTGTGTGTGTTTGTGTGTGTGTGTGTGTGTGTGTGCGTGTGTGTGCGTGAATATGTGCGCATGTGTGTGTGTGGAACTGTATCTAGCACAAAGCAAGAAATGTAGATGTAATGGAAACCAATGCAAGTTTATACAAGATTAGTGTTGAATACACACATACACACACACACACACACACACACACACACACACACACACACACACACACACACACACACACACACACACACACACACACACGCACACACTTATCCAGGACAACACCATTCTCAAAATATGGAGTGTGTGTGTGTGTCTGTGTGTGTGCGTCTGTCTGTCTCTGTGTGTGTGTGTGTCTCTCTGTCTGTGTATGCTTGTGTGTGTGTGTGTCTGCATGTGTCTCTGTGTGCGTGCGTATGTCTATGTTTGTTTATGTCTCTCTGTGTCTATGTGAATGTGTGTATAAATGTGTGTGTGTCTGCGTCTGTGTGTGTGTTTGTCTGTGCGTGTGTCTGTGTGTGTGTGCGTTCGTGTGTCTGTCTGTGTATGCTTGTATGTGTCTCTGTCTCTGTGTCTGTGTGTGTGTTTGTGTGTGTATGTTTGTGTGTGTCTCTGTATGTGTCTGTGTGTGTGTCTGTACATGTATGTGTGTATTCATGTTGTGTATCCCTGCAGAAGGCCCAGGCTGCAGAGCACAGACATCGTGCGCTGTTTGAAGACCTGTCCCTCCTCAGACCTGAGCTGTGCCCTGGACCCGCTCTCCTCCGTCTCCCACACATCTATCTCCCTGGTCACTACCAGAGACCTGCCCAGACCAGAAGGTACCAGAGAGACCAGAAAGAGACCAGAGAGACCAGAGAGAGACCAGAGAGACCAGAGAGAGACCAGAGAGAGAGACCAGAGAGAGACCAAAAAGACCAGAGAGAGACGAGAGATAGACCAGAGAGAGAGACCAGGGAGAGAGAGAGAGACCAGAGAGAGAGACCAGAGAGAGACCAGAGAGAGACCAGAGAGAGAGACCAGAAAGAGACCAGAGAGAGAGGAGAGAGAGACCAGAGAGAGACCAGAGAGAGGAGAGAGAGACCAGAGAGAGACCAGAGAGAGAGGAGAGAGAGACCAGAGAGAGACCAGAGAGAGGAGAGAGAGACCAGAGAGAGACCAGAGAGAGAGACCAGAGAGAGACCAGAGAGAGGAGAGAGAGCAGAGAGAGAGGAGAGAGATACCAGAGAGAGACTAGAGAGAGACAAGAGAGAGTAGAGAGCGAGAGATACCAGAGAGAGAGCAGAGAAAGAGACCAGAGAGCAACCAAATAGACACACGCACACAGACACACATACACCACACAGACGCACACACACACACACACACACACACACACACAGATGCACACACGCACACAAACAAAGACACACACACACAGACACACACACACACACCCACACCCACACTCTAACCTCTGGTCCCCACAGAGATTGTGTTTCTGAGGACCTCGGTGAGTCCTTTTGGCAGTTTTCATCTCGGTTCTTACGACGTTCAGTTCGAGATCCAGGACGGGAACGTGGAGAACGCCTTCGACATCATCAAGAGGCTGGAGAGCGGCGTCTACGTCGGTGAGCTCTAACTTCAACTTTAAAATACATCTTTGACTTTTAGAAACACTAATGCCATTGCATAAAACATTATTTCAAAATCATTTTTAAAATGGAATTAATGAGAAATTATGTTTTAGGAAAGAGTGATACCCTGTGTGTGTGTGTGTGTCTCTGAATGTGTGTGTGTCTGACTGTGTGTCTATTAAGTCTGTGTGTGTTTGTTTTTGTCAGAGTGTGTTTGTGTCTGAGTGTGTTTGTGTCTGACTGTGTGTTTATGTGTGTGTGTGTGCGCATGTAATTGTGTTTTTTTGCGTGTGTCTTAGTGCGTTTGTGTGTGTTTAATTGTGTGTGTGAGTATGTCTAAGTGTGTATGAGTGTGTGTCTATTAAGTCTGTGTGTGCGCGTGTGTGTGTTTTTGTCTGAGTATGTGTGTCTGAGTGTATGTGAGTCTGACTATGTTTGTGTCTGAGTGTGTGTTTATGTGTGTGTGTGCGCATGTAAGTGTGTGTTTTTGCGTGTGTCTTAGTGCGTCTGCGTGTGTTTAATTGTGTGTGTGAGTATGTTTAAGTGTGTATGAGTGTGTGTCTACGTGTTTATGTGTGTATGTGCGTGTGTGTGTGTGTATTTAAAACAGTATTATCTCAGAGTGATGTGTGTGATGGAGGTGGAGGCCACAGGTGCAGCTGCTGCGTCTGCTCCAAGTGACGGATGTGAAGCTGGGTCTGAGGGAGAGAGGGAGACAGAGAGAGAGGGAGAGAGGGAGAGTGAGAGAGAGAGAGAGAGAAAGAGGGAGAGAGGGAGACAGAGAGAGAGGGAGAGAGAGAGAGAGAGAGAGAGAGAGAAAGAGAGAGAGGGAGAGAGAGAGTGAGAGAGAGAGAGAGACTGCTGTGTGTGTGTGTGTGCCTATGCCTAAAATCATATGTGAGTTTCAAATATGTACAGAATGTGTACATGTGTGTGAGTGTGTGTCTGTCTGTTTTTAATTGTGTGTGTTTGTCTATGCATGTGTGTCTCTGTGTGTGTTTAATTGTGTGTGTCTATGTCTGTCTCTGTGTGTGTGTGTCGTTGCCTAGAATCATGAGTGAGTTTCAAATATGTAGAGAATGTGGTGAAGTCATAGAAAAGAGAAGATCTTTTCTTGTGGTTAAATGTATTGTTTGGTTTCCCTCTCGGCCTCGGCCTCAGAACCTTCTGGAGCCTCACATCAAAGGCCTGAGTCTGAGGAACTGTTACTCTGTGTAAAAGAGAAAACTGTTTTTGACTAACATTCAAACAGAATGTAGAGCAGTGACAAAGAGAGACAAGAGAGAGACCGGAGAGGGACCAGAAAGAGACCGGAGAGGGACCAGAGAGAGACCAGAGAGGGACCAGAGAGAGACCGGAGAGAGACCAGAAAGAGACCGGAGAGGGACCAGAGAGAGACCGGAGAGGGACCAGAAAGAGACCGGAGAGGGACCAGAGAGAGACCAGAGAGGGACCAGAGAGAGACCAGACAGAGACCAGAGAAAGAGAGGGACCAAAGAGAGAGACCGGAGAGGGATCAGAAAGAGAGACCAGAGAGACCAGAGAGGGACCAGAGAGAGACCAGAGAGAGACCGGAGAGGGACCAGAGAGAGACCACAGAGAGGGGCCAGAGAGGGACCAGAGAGAGACCTGAGAGAGACCAGCGGGAGACCAGAGAGAGACTAAAGAGAGAGACCACAGAGAGGGACCAGAGAGAGAGACCAGAGAGAGAGACCAGAGAGAGACAAGAGAGAGACCAGAGAGGGACCAGAGAGAAAGACCGGAGAGGGATCAGAGAGAGAGACCGGAGAGGGATCAGAGAGAGACCAGAGAGAGACCAGAGAGAGGGGCCAGAGAGGGACCAGAGAGAGACCAGAGAGAGCAACCAGAGAACAAAATCATACATAAGACAGCAGCAAAGAACAGTAAATATTGGGGACAAAACACAAACTATAGGGTGGTTCTTGATTTTACTGATGACAAATGACAAAGGGCCCCTGGTCACGGCATGAATACTACTGTAGGAAGTGGAAAGTTTGTGTGTTGTGTACTCAGGTAGCCATGGCAGTCCTTGCGGTTGTCCACAGAGGGAGGAGGAATCTGAGTGGTCGGTGTGAGACATGACTCCTCCTGATCCAGAGGAGTTTGTGGTTGTGCTGCTGAGTGGAGCAAGACAAGAGCGCAGATAAACACAACGCAACTGTCCAAAGCACTGGTCGTCAAAACGGAAATATTCAGTGCAATCGTCCAGCTCAACACAAAGACGTTAAATGATTGGGGGTTAGGGATGAGTGCGAGTCTTGTAGTACGGGGGAAACTGGAAACGAAATGTTGTTGTGATTTTGTATATCAAACACACGTCTACATTGATGCTTTGTGGAGTTTGTAAGTGGGAGCGAAGGAGTCTGGAAGCAAAATAGGTTGAAAAAAAAGCCTCTGGTCTCTCCAAGATGTCTGCCTCTGGTCTCTCCAAAATGTCTGCCCCTGGTCTCTCCAAGATGTCTGCTCCTGGTCTCTCCAAGATGTCTGCTCCTGGTCTCTCCAAGATGTCTGCTCCTGGTCTCTCCAAGATGTCTCTCCCTGGTCTCTCCAAGATGTCTGCTCCTGGTCTCTCCAAGATGTCTGCTCCTGGTCTCTCCAAGATGTCTCTCCCTGGTCTCTCCAAGATGTCTGTTCCTGGTCTCTCCAAGATGTCTCTCCCTGGTCTCTCCAAGATGTCTCTCCCTGGTCTCTCCAAGATGTCTGCTCCTGGTCTCTCCAAGATGTCTCTCCCTGGTCTCTCCAAGATGTCTCTCCTTGGTCCTCTCCAAAATGTCTGCCCCTGGTCTCTCCAAGATGTCTCTCCCTGGTCTCTCCAAGATGTCTGTTCCTGGTCTCTCCAAGATGTCTGCTCCTGGTCTCTCCAAGATGTCTCTCCCTGGTCTCTCCAAGATGTCTGCTCCTGGTCTCTCCAAGATGTCTCTCCCTGGTCTCTCCAAGATGTCTGCCCCTGGTCTCTCCAAGATGTCTGCTCCTGGTCTCTCCAAGATGTCTCTCCCTGGTCTCTCCAAGATGTCTGTTCCTGGTCTCTCCAAGATATCTGACTCTGGTCTTTCCAAGATGTCTGCCCCTGGTTTCTCCAAGATGTCTGCTCATTCACATCCGACCTGTGCTCGTTGGTGCATACTCTAAAATGGAGATACGATAGATATTTATTTGTCACATAACAACAAGGTCAATGACAATAGTGAAATGACTAGTAACCAATGCATCTGTCTTTAGTTTGATTGAAGCAGTCCAAGAAGCATATTTCCTGGAGTAAGAATGTTCTTTTCAGAATCAGAATCAGAATCATTTTTATTGCCACGTAAGTAACAGGAGGTCACAGACTTGGAAATTGCTTTGGCTCAGTGCAACAGTCAGAAAGAGATAATAAAAATAAGAATACATTTAAATTTAAAATAGAGATACAGTTACTATTTACAATATACAAGTGCACATGGTGCACACAATGTAAGGTGACAGCAGTACAGTGAAGTAAAGTGACTTTATAAAGGGCAGTAAAGTGACTTTATAAAGGGCGGGGGGACAGGTTAAGAAGTGTTCAAGAGTCCAACAGCAGAGGGGAAGAAACTGTTCTTGTGGCGGGAGGTTCTAGTCCTGATGGACCGCAGTCTCCTGCCTGAGGGGAGTGGTTGGAATAGTCCATGTGCAGGGTGAGAGGGGTCGGCTGTGATACGACCAGCCCGGCCTCGAGCTCGGGCGACGTACAGGTCCTGCAGCGATGGAAGGCTGCGGCCGATCACTTCCTCTGCAGAGCGCACAATGCGCTGTAGTCTCTGTTTGTCCCTGACTGTGGGTCCAGCGAACCACACGGTGATGGAGGAGGTGATGGAGGAGGTGATGGAGGAGGTGATGGAGGAGGTGAGGATGGACTCGATGATGGCCGTGTAGAGGATCTAGAGTGGAAAGATCAGTCGAGAGAGAGAGAGAAAGAGGGAGAGAGACTAGAGGGAGATCAGAGAAAGAGACCAGAGAGAGAGAGTGAGAGTGGTCGACCCATGTGTGTTTGGACTTTCTTCTTACACCAGCATCAGAGCCTGCAGCGGTCAGTCCTGCAGCGGTCAGTCCTGCAGCGGTCAGTCCTGCAGCGGTCAGTCCTGCAGCGGTCAGTCCTGCAGCGGTCAGTCCTGCAGCGGTCAGTCCTGCAGCGGTCAGTCCTGCAGTGGTCAGTCCTGCAGTGGTCAGTCCTGCAGCGGTCAGTCCTGCAGCGGTCAGTCCATGTGAGACCGTCCCTGGACCATTCTGTCTCCTGCCGGGGCCAAGACTATGCGCCTCTCCACTGCACTGCATTGTGGGTTATTCTGTTTTGCTAAGCAGTTTGTGGAGATTATAAATTAGATGTGTTGACGGAATTTGAAAACGCTTGTTGGATCGGCTGGTTTTGCTAATAAGGGACCAGGGGAGATACTGGGCCGGGTTTTGGACTCGAGTTTTTGGAACACGGACCAAGAGAGCATTTTTGTTATACTTCAGAAACACACACCGTATCATTATGTTGTATCAAATATGTTCAAATGTTAGACTTTGAAATGGTAACGTCAGAACCAGAGGTGGCTGCTTCAATGGACACCAGTTATTGTACTATGTGGCTTTTGTGAACCTGACAATACAGATATTTGGACATAAATATAATGCTAACAAGAGAAAAAGTCTTCTGAGAAAAAGAAGACTCCAGAGTGTCTTTTCCTAACTTTTTAACTATCTGGAAAACAATTATTGTAGATTGCTGAATGTGTTAAATGTAGTTTTGTTGTTGACATTTGCAGTTTTGTGGCTGCACTTGTTGTTTGTGGTTCTTTCAACTAAGTCTGTGTTGTTTTGTTTTCCTCCAGCAGTGATTCGCACTGATAGACAATAATTTATGCATTAAAATATTCAACATTAATTAAAGGAACTTCAACAAATTTACATTTATTTATGTTTCAAGTGTAATGTCAGTGTATTTGCCCTGCGGCATTTTCACGTTGGCGCTTGGAAGCAAAACGTTTGGGCACTCCTGCCTTAGACCCTCCTGCATCTGCAAGAAGAACTCTTAAAACCTAGTGGGCCTGTACAGCTGCCACATACTGCACCCCCATATCCACTGCCACATACTGCACCCCCATGTATACTGCCACATACTGCACCCCCATGTCCACTGCCACATACAGCACCCCCATGTCCACTGCCACATACTGCACCCCCATGTATACTGCCACATACTCCACCCCCATGTCCACTGCCACATACTGCACCCCCATGTCCTCTGCCATATACTGCACCCCCATGTCCACTGCCACATACTGCACCCCCATGTCCTCTGCCATATACTGCACCCCCATGTCCACTGCCACATACAGCACCCCCATGTATACTGCCACATACTGCACCCCCATGTCCACTGCCACATACTGCACCCCCATGTCCTCTGCCATATACTGCACCCCCATGTCCTCTGCCATATACTGCACCCCCATGTCCACTGCCACATACTGCACCCCCATGTCCACTGCCACATACTGCACCCCCATGTATACTGCCACATACAGCACCCCCATGTCCACTGCCACATACTGCACCCCCATGTATACTGCCACATACAGCACCCCCATGTCCACTGCCACATACTGCACCCCCATGTATACTGCCACATACTCCACCCCCATGTCCACTGCCACATACTGCACCCCCATGTCCTCTGCCATATACTGCACCCCCATGTCCACTGCCACATACAGCACCCCCATGTATACTGCCACATACTGCACCCCCATGTCTTCTGCCACATACTGCACCCCCATGTCCTCTGCCATATACTGCACCCCAATCTCCACTGCCACATACTGCACCCCCATGTCCACTGCCACATACTGCACCCCCATGTCCACTGCCACATACTCCACCCCCATGTCCACTGCCACATACTGCACCCCCATGTCCACTGCCACATACTGCACCCCCATGTCCACTGCCACATACTGCACCCCCCATGTCCTCTGCCATATACTGCACCCCCATGTCCACTGCCACATACAGCACCCCCATGTATACTGCCACATACTGCACCCCCATGTCCACTGCCACATACTGCACCCCCATGTCCTCTGCCATATACTGCACCCCAATCTCCACTGCCACATACTGCACCCCCATGTCCACTGCCACATACTGCACCTCCATGTCCACTGCCACATACTGCACCCCCATGTCCACTGCCACATACTGCACCCCCATGTCCACTGCCACATACTGCACCCCCATGTCCACTGCCACATACTGCACCCCCATGTCCACCGCCACATACTGCACCCCCATGTCCACTGCCACATACTGCACCCCCATGTCCACTGCCACATACTGCACCCCCATGTCCACTGTCACATAACGAACCATTTTCCTCACTATACGTATTTTCTGTGATGGATTCTGTGTTTTTGCCGGTCCCAGATGTTGCGCTCGGTAAAACCCTCCCCCTTCGCACGAGATGCCCCACCGTCCCTCACAGCACGCCGCTGACTGACGGCGTTCCAACTGTCAGTCGTGTGGTATCCCAAAAGAACACGGAACACCCAGCTTTCAGCGATTCTTCCGATTTAGAAAAATAAATGTTGCCACCGCGCCGCCCAGGCATTATCCGTCAAAATACAGTATTTTCACTGTGAGAATTTAAGCTTAAACATATAATTGAGAAAAAATATTACTCTACTCTACTCTACTCTGCTGGTACCAGGTCCTTCTTTAGTCTCTCTTGGTCGTGGTTCTATCCAGACCGAGCTGGTCCTAAAGAGATTGGCCAGAGCGCTGTTGGGATTTCCCTGGATACTTGATTGTTGTGGGTTGGTTGCTAGGATACGGTACCAGATACTAAAGCGTAATGGAAACGCAACCAGGTAGAGTCGAGCCAAGTAGAGTAGAGTAGAGTAGGGCCAAGTAGGGCTGGAGGAGACAGGGCGATAAAGACTAGAATGAAAACTAATTTCAGAAAGAAGGTACTGGGTTCACCTCCAGAGAGGGCCTTTCTGAGTTCTCCTTGTGTCTCTGTAGGTTTCCTCCAGGTGCTCCGGTTTAACAATCTGGCGTAATCAAACTGTTCATTCCTACACACTGTTCCAACCAAATGAATAGATGCATAAAAGTGTGAAGATCCTGGGTTGGATTCCACCTCCAGACAGGGCCTTTCTGAATGGAGTTTGCGTGTTCTCCCCATGTCTGCTCTGGTTCCCTTTACCACTAAAAACATACACTGCAAAAAGTAATGAAAAATTAGTCAAACGTTGCTCGAATTTGGCAAAATGTATCTTAATTGGAGCACATTTTCACTGCCTTAAAACAAGATTTACCAATGGAACAAGGACATTTATCTTGTTTTAAAAAGATAGAAGAAATATCTCTGTTGGAATGAGAGAATAAAACAGATAAGCATTTAAGACGTCATATATTAGCACTTTTTGCAGTGTAAACAAAAGCTCCCCTTCGGGCCAGGACTCCCATGAGTGGAGTTTGCATGTTCTCCCTACGTCTGCTCCAGTTTCCTCCAGGTGCTCCGGTTTGTATATTAATATGCAGTATACTGTATATATTTTCTTTTAACTATGGACTGTATTGTATCCTTAATAAAGTCGTACAACTAAAAACATAGCCACTCTCTCTGGGGCCAGATCTCTCTTGAAAAAAAAAGGGATTCTGAACCATTTCCTGCACTCCTGATTTTCTACATGTTTCTGTGGGCTTGGAACTGACCCAACGAGTGCAATTGCTTGTGACACCCAGTGGTTAAATCGTGTCCAGATTGATCCCTTTGCACTGTTTTGTAAAACTAAATGACTTTTTCCACCCTTTTCTCCTCCTTGTTATGTCCGTTGTTAGGCATAAAGAAGAAAAATCACTGATGGAGCTTTGGAAACAATAAAACTCTCAGTCGCTCGCACCCGACTATTGTCACTACGCAACAGCGAAACCAAAAACATCCAAGAAATAAGGGCCTCTACTTCTCACTCACTGCAAAAAGTGATAAAATATGAGGTCATAATTGCTCAGATCAAGTGGAATACTCTCTGAATTTGAGCAAGTTCTGACTTAAAACAAGATTTCCCGAAGAGATAAAGCCAGTTAGTCTTGATTCAAAAACGAAAAAGATTTGCCAATGGGACATGTACCATTAAAGGAGCAGTCTGTAAAAATGTGGCCAAAAGTGGTACTGCAGCCTCTCCCACTCTCCCTGACTCAGGTTGCCAGATATGCAGACGAATCCAGCTGGGACCATAACAGCTGAATAGACAAGAGTTTTGTCAACAACAAATCTATAACCAACACCTTTTTCACAAAGACGTTTTGCCAGTTAGTCTTGATTCAAAAACGAAAAAGATTTGCCAATGGGACATGTACCATTAAAGGAGCAGTCTGTAAAAATGTGGCCAAAAGTGGTACTGCAGCCTCTCCCACTCTCCCTGACTCAGGTTGCCAGATATGCAGACGAATCCAGCTGGGACCATAACAGCTGAATAGACAAGAGTTTTGTCAACAACAAATCTATAACCAACACCTTTTTCACAAAGACGTTTTGTCGTTAATAATCTGAGAATCATAACGAGACCTTTTTTAGTTCTGCGCCACATGGTACTTTACCAGTGAGATTAGCTCGACGCGGTGAGTTCTGGCGCCCGGATCACAGACTTTCTGATTGGTGAAACGGTGGAGGGCGGGACATTGAAATGAAAACAATAACAAGATTTAGGGGCTGGAAAAGTAATTTAGAAATTCAAATATCTCTGAACTACTGTTATCAGTTAAAGAAGTGTTGGAAAAGAGAAGGTTTTATTAATGCTTTTGACAGATTAGGGCCATTTAATGATGAGTTGACATGAAAATCTTATATATTTCTACTTTAAAAAGATACAAGAAATATCTCCCTTAGAATGAAAAAACAAAGCAACAGTTCTTGAATTAAGACTAAATGTCTTTGTCCCGTTGGAGAATCTAGTTTTAACACAGTCAGAATGTCCTCGAATTAAGATAAAACAACTTTATTTCAGCTTTTATGACCTCATAATTCCTCATTTTTTGCAGTGAAGGGACACATTCCCCGTATCTTTTTAAACTAAGATCTTTTTGCTTTGTCCCGTTGGTCAATTTTGTTTGGCAGTTAAAATGTGTTCAAATTAAGACACATTTTCCCCAATTTTTGCAATTTTTGACTCATTCTTCATCACTTTTCGCCAGAATCTGCAGATAGTGACAGCAGTAGTGTGTGTGTGTGTGTGTGTGTGTGTGTGTGTGTGTGTGTGTGTGTGTATGTGTGTGTGTGTCTCCCAGTGTTGCGTGACTGCACCAGCCTCTCTCCATCAGACACATGGGACCCATTAAGCCTGGTGCGCCACAGCCTCAGTGCCACAACACCAGGCCCCGGGGAGCAGAGGAGCAGAGGAGCAGAGGAGCAGAGGAAGCAGAAGAGCAGAGGGAGCAGAGGAAGCAGAGGAGCAGAGGGAGCAGAGGGTGCAGAGGAGCAGAGGAGCAGAGGGAGCAGAGGAGCAGAGGGAGCAGAGGAAGCAGAGGAGCAGAGGGAGCAGAGGGTGCAGAGGAGCAGAGGAGCAGAGGGAGCAGAGGAGCAGAGGGTGCAGAGGGAGCAGAGGAGCAGAGGGTGCAGAGGAGCAGGGGAACCAGAGGAGCAGGGGAACCAGAGGAGCAGGGGGACCAGAGGAGCAGAGGGTGCAGAGGAGCAGGGGAACCAGAGGAGCAGAGGACCAGAGGAGCAGAGGGAGCAGAGGAGCAGGGGAACCAGAGGAGCAGGGGAACCAGAGGAGCAGGGGGACCAGAGGAGCAGAGGGTGCAGAGGAGCAGGGGAACCAGAGGAGCAGAGGACCAGAGGAGCAGAGGGAGCAGAGGAGCAGGGGAACCAGAGGAGCAGAGGACCAGAGGAGCAGAGGGAGCAGAGGGAGCAGAGGAGCAGAGGGAGCAGAGGGAGCAGAGGAGCAGAGGGAGCAGAGGGTGCAGAGGAGCAGGGGGACCAGAGGAGCAGAGGAGCAGAGGAAGCAGAAGAGCAGAGGGAGCAGAGGAGCAGAGGGTGCAGAGGAGCAGGGGAACCAGAGGAGCAGGGGAACCAGAGGAGCAGGGGGACCAGAGGAGCAGAGGGTGCAGAGGAGCAGGGGAACCAGAGGAGCAGAGGACCAGAGGAGCAGAGGGAGCAGAGGAGCAGGGGAACCAGAGGAGCAGAGGACCAGAGGAGCAGAGGGAGCAGAGGAGCAGAGGGAGCAGAGGGAGCACAGGAGCAGGGGAACCAGAGGAGCAGAGGACCAGAGGAGCAGAGGGAGCAGAGGGAGCAGAGGAGCAGAGGGAGCAGAGGAGCAGAGGGAGCAGAGGGTGCAGAGGAGCAGGGGGACCAGAGGAGCAGAGGAAGCAGAAGAGCAGAGGGAGCAGAGGAAGCAGAGGAGCAGAGGGAGCAGAGGAAGCAGAGGAGCAGAGGGAGCAGAGAGTGCAGAGGAGCAGGGGGACCAGAGGAGCAGAGGGAGCAGAGGAGCAGAGGGTGCAGAGGAGCAGGGGGACCAGAGGAGCAGAGGGAGCAGAGGAGCAGAGGGAGCAGAGGAGCAGAGGGTGCAGAGGAGCAGGGGAACCAGAGGAGCAGGGGGACCAGAGGAGCAGAGGGAGCAGAGGGAGCAGAGGGTGCAGAGGAGCAGGGGAACCAGAGGAGCAGGGGGACCAGAGGAGCAGAGGGAGCAGAGGGAGCAGAGGGAGCAGAAGAGCAGAGGGAGCAGAGGGAGCAGGGGGAGCAGAGGAGTAGAGAGAGCAGAGGAGCAGAGGGAGCAGAGGAGCAGGGGGAGCAGAGGGAGAACTCATTCAGGGAGAAGGAGAATTAATTAATTCCTCTGGTCTCTCCCTCCGGTCTCTTTCTGCTTGCTTTCTGGTATCACACTGGTCTCTTTCTGGTCTTTCTTTGATATCTGGTCTCTCTTTGATCTCTCTGATCTATATCTGATCTCTTGCTGTTCTCTCTCTCTCTCGTCTCTTTTTGGTCTCTCGCTGGTCTCTCTATCTCTGGTCTCTCCCTGGTCTCTCTCTGGTCTCTCTTTGGTCTCTCGCTGGTCTCTCTCTGGGGAAACGGGGTCATTGGTGCTCCTCTGACCTTTGCAGTGCTATGACATCACTGCTCTGTGTGTGACGATGACATCACTGCTGTGTGTGTGCATTGTTATGACATCACTCATGCTCGGCCCCTCCCCTCAGGTGTGGTGCGGCAGGTGAAGCCTCTGATTGGTCCACTCTCCACCGTCCTGAAGCTGCTCATGCGCCACCTCAGCACCCAGGGCGAGACCGGCCACAACATCATCAACGTCCACGTCTTTGTCTCCGAGTTCTGGTTCTAAGATCTCTCTCTGGTGCCTCTCTGGTCTCTCTATCTCTGGTCTGTCCCTGGTCTCTCTCTGGTGCCTCTCTGGTCTCTCTATCTCTGGTCTGTCCCTGGTCTCTCTCTGGTCCCTCTCTCTCTGTCTTTCTTGCATCCCTCAATGGTCTCTCTTTATACACTCTCTCTCTATAGTCTCTTCCCTTTGGTCTCTCTTTGGTCCCTCTTTGGTCCCTCTTTGATCCCTCTCTGGTCTCTCTCTGGTCTCTCTCTCTGGTCTCTCTCTGGTCTCTCTCTCTCTGGTCTCTCTCTGGTCTCTCTCTTGTCTCTCTCTAGGTCTCTCTCTGGTCTCTCTCTGGTCTCTCTCTCTGGTCTCTCTCTCTGGTCTCTCTCTGGTCTCTCTCTCTGGTCTCTCTCTGGTCCCTCCCTGGTCTCTCTCTGGTCCCTCTCTCTCTGTCTTTCTTGCATCCCTCAATGGTCTCTCTTTATACACTCTCTCTCTATAGTCTCTTCCCTTTGGTCTCTCTTTGGTCCCTCTTTGGTCCCTCTTTGATCCCTCTCTGGTCTCTCTCTGGTCTCTCTCTCTCTGGTCTCTCTCTGGTCTCTCTCTTGTCTCTCTCTAGGTCTCTCTCTGGTCTCTCTCTGGTCTCTCTCTCTGGTCTCTCTCTGGTCTCTCTCTCTGGTCTCTCTCTGGTCCCTCCCTGGTCTCTCTCTGGTCCCTCTCTCTCTGTCTTTCTTGCATCCCTCAATGGTCTCTCTTTATAAACTCTCTCTCTTTGATCTCTCTCTATAGTCTCTTCCCTTTGGTCTCTCTTTGGTCCCTCTTTGGTCCCTCTTTGATCCCTCTCTGGTCTCTCTCTGGTCTCTCTCTCTGGTCTCTCTCTGGTCTCTCTCTCTCTGGTCTCTCTCTGGTCCCTCTCTGGTCTCTCTCTGGTCTCTCTCTGGTCCCTCTCTGGTCTCTCTCTGGTCTCTCTCTGGTCCCTCTCTGGTCCCTCACTGGTCTCTCTCTCTGGTCCCTCTCTGGTCTCTCTCTGGTCTCTCTCTCTGGCCTCTCTCTGGTCCCTCTCTGGTCCCTCTCTGGTCTCTCTCTCTGGTCCCTCTCTGGTCTCTCTCTGGTCTCTCTCTCTGGCCTCTCTCTGGCCTCTCTCTGGTCTCTCTCTGGTCTCTCTCTGGTCTGTGGTTTGTTCTCTCTCTGGTCTGTGGTTTGTTCTCTCTCTGGTCTCTCTCTGGTCCCTCTCTGGTCCCTCTCTGGTCTCTCTCTCTGGTCCCTCTCTGGTCTCTCTCTGGTCTCTCTCTCTGGCCTCTCTCTGGTCCCTCTCTGGTCCCTCTCTGGTCCCTCTCTGGTCCCTCTCTGGTCTCTCTCTCTGGTCCCTCTCTGGTCTCTCTCTGGTCTCTCTCTCTGGCCTCTCTCTGGTCTGTGGTTTGTTCTCTCTCTGGTCTGTGGTTTGTTCTCTCTCTGGTCTCTCTCTGGTCCCTTCAGCCTTCACTTTAAACCATCTGATTTCAACACTGTACATTTATATATTAACATTAAAACTATATGATTGTGTTTTTAGAAGTTGTCGTGCATGTTTTTCTTTCTCTTGTATCTGTAAAAAGCAGAAAAATACAATTACTTTTCATCAAAACGGTTTGTTAACTTTCTTCCTTTTGTTATTTAACCTAATTTTTAAACAGAATAAACCATATTTCAGACAATGGCGCATGTGTGTCTTTTGTCTTGGCAAAATATTTGAAATTCATTTACTGTATAATCTGAACCGTTTTGGGGATAAACTGAATGTTTTAAGACTCTTTTTGGTCACGGTTCAAACACCAGCGCCGCCATTTTGTGCAGTAGGGAAGAACATCATATTGGCTCAGAGAAACGTCTTGTCTCCATGGCGATATATGAATCACGCTGCAGATTTCTTTCATTCAGTCGTTTCTCGTCGAGGCCAAAAGCACAGAAAGAGTGAAGCAGTGCGACCGACTCGAGCTCGGCCACTTTTAACGCTGAAGAAACATTAGTTTGGATTCAGAGTCAGTTTATTTGTTGTTTGCAGCGAAACCAGATTAGAATAACTGTGAAATCAAAACAATTCAATACAATAATAAAATAAAATAAAACTTGGGCGAATGGGAATGAACGCTGCTCAACTGAGACTCGGGTCTTGGTTTAGTATTTGTCCGGTCCTGGGTTGCTCCTGGCCTAGTCCTGGTCTGCTCCTGATCAAGTTCTGGTCTGCTCCTGGTCTAGTCCTTGGCTGGTCCTGGTCTGGTCCGCTACGGGTCTAGTCCTGATCTGGTCCTGGGCTTCTCCTGGTCTAGTCCTTGTCTGGTCCTGGCCTTGTCCTATTCCGCTCTGGGTCCAGTTTCGGGCTAGTCCTAGTCTGGTCCACTCCTGGTCTAGTTCTTGGCTGATCCTGGTCTGGTCCACTCCTGGTCTAGTTCTTGGCTGACTTTGGTCTGGTCTCACCCTGGATCTGGGCTTCCACCAGAGAAGAGCAAATGCAAGTTACCGTAGCAACACACTGTTTTCTTGCTAGCAGCTAGCATTAGCCTTTAAAACAAATGGTTTTTTCTGTGTTATCAGTTTTAGCAGCCAGTCATAGCACTTGTAAACGTGAATAAGGTTAAAAAACACCTTCTAAATAACTTACTTTTAATACATCTGCTAGAAAAGTTAAAATTTTTAGGGTAATTTCTCAGAATTCCTTTGGTTTGAACGAGGGCAGTCAAAATGGCCGCTCTGGGAGTTCTCCGAGTTTCATAATTCTGGGAGTCTGTGGGACGAATAAAGGGTCTCATATCTTATTTTTAATCTTAGTTCATAATAAAGGTGAAATTACAATCGCACAAATTGAGGTGAATGACTTTTTGATTGGGATGAAAAGTCGCCGCAAGTTGATAATCCGCCAGCTATAATAATAATAATAATAATAATAATAATAATAATAATAATAATAATAAAAATGAAGACACGATATTTTTCAAAACACACGGACTCCATCTGCAAACACGCTCTCACATTCTCGCTCGCCACGACCGCTTCCAACGCGGCGCTTCGAATCAACAACATACAACTGGATTTCACGCTGAGAGTTCAGAATGTGACGGTGGTTTTCTGAAAGCGAGTCTTTAGCTCGAAGAGTTGTTCTACGCAATCAATCAAGTCATAAAAAGCCAAATGTTTTTGCACCGAACCTAATGTGCCTGGAGTACAGACGTGTGGTGGACATTATCCTGAGAAACCCTGACGGCAAAGAGAGAAGACCTGGAGCGTGTTAGCAAACCACAGACCAGCGCGGGAACGAGTCTGTCTCTGGTCTCATTTCCTGGTCTCTCTCTGGTCTCTCGTTCCTTTCTTTCTCGCTGGTATTTCTCTGGTCTATCCCCCTGCTCTCTCTCGTTTGCCTCTCTCTGCTCTCTTTCGGCAGCACGGTGGCAGAGTGGATAGCACTCTCGCCTCTCAGCAAGAAGGTCCTGGGTTCGAATCCCGGTCGGACCAGGGCCTTTCTGAGTGGAGTTTGCATGTTCTCCCCGTGTCTGCGAAGGTTTCCTCCGGGTGCTCCGGTTTCCCCTACCACTAAAAATATGTCCAATAGTTCTAGCATGCGCCTCCTGTACTGGCCCCGCTCCCATCTCTGTGTGGAGTGAGAGACAAATGCCCAAAAATTAACAATTGTAAACCGCTTTGAGACTCAGATCTGCAGTGAAAAGGCGGTATATAAATAAAGATTACTTACTACTACTACTACTACTACTTTCTACTCTCTGCTCTCTCTCTTTCTATTCTTTGCTCTCTACCTGGTCTCTCCCTAGTCCCTCTCTCTGCTCTCTCTTTGCTCTCTACCTGGTCTCTCCCTAGTCCCTCTTCTCTCTCTTTGCTCTCTACCTGGTCTCTCCCTAGTCCCTCTCTCTGCTCTCTCTTTGCTCTCTACCTGGTCTCTCCCTAGTCCCTCTCTCTGCTCTCTCTCTTTCTTCTCTCTGCTCTCTCTTTGCTCTCTACCTGGTCTCTCCCTAGTCCCTCTGCTCTCTCTTTGCTCTCTACCTGGTCTCTCCCTAGTCTCTCTCTCTGCTCTCTCTTTGCTCTCTACCTGGTCTCTCCCTAGTCCCTCTGCTCTCTCTTTGCTCTCTACCTGGTCTCTCCCTAGTCCCTCTCTCTGCTCTCTCTTTGCTCTCTACCTGGTCTCTCCCTAGTCCCTCTGCTCTCTCTTTGCTCTCTACCTGGTCTCTCCCTAGTCTCTCTCTCTGCTCTCTCTTTGCTCTCTACCTGGTCTCTCCCTAGTCCCTCTCTCTGCTCTCTCTTTGCTCTCTACCTGGTCTCTCCCTAGTCTCTCTCTCTGCTCTCTCTTTGCTCTCTACCTGGTCTCTCCCTAGTCCCTCTCTCTGCTCTCTCTTTGCTCTCTACCTGGTCTCTCCCTAGTCCCTCTGCTCTCTCTTTGCTCTCTACCTGGTCTCTCCCTAGTCCCTCTCTCTGCTCTCTCTTTGCTCTCTACCTGGTCTCTCCCTAGTCCCTCTGCTCTCTCTTTGCTCTCTACCTGGTCTCTCCCTAGTCCCTCTCTCTGCTCTCTCTTTGCTCTCTACCTGGTCTCTCCCTAGTCCCTCTCTCTGCTCTCTCTTTGCTCTCTACCTGGTCTCTCCCTAGTCCCTCTGCTCTCTCTTTGCTCTCTACCTGGTCTCTCCCTAGTCCCTCTCTCTGCTCTCTCTTTGCTCTCTACCTGGTCTCTCCCTAGTCCCTCTGCTCTCTCTTTGCTCTCTACCTGGTCTCTCCCTAGTCTCTCTCTCTGCTCTCTCTTTGCTCTCTACCTGGTCTCTCCCTAGTCCCTCTCTCTGCTCTCTCTTTGCTCTCTACCTGGTCTCTCCCTAGTCCCTCTCTCTGCTCTCTCTTTGCTCTCTACCTGGTCTCTCCCTAGTCCCTCTGCTCTCTCTTTGCTCTCTACCTGGTCTCTCCCTAGTCCCTCTCTCTGCTCTCTCTTTGCTCTCTCTACCTGGTCTCTCCCTAGTCCCTCTGCTCTCTCTTTGCTCTCTACCTGGTCT